GACATACACAAAATTTAAGAATGTTCTAGAAAAAAATGAACGAACATGTTGACCACTCTGGAATATTCAAGAAACTTAATGTTACTAATAATATACATGATGAAACAATACAAATACAACACACCTCACAACACACAGTACTCCTGAAGTTTCTCCTTCACTGTCATCTTCGCTCGTCAAGGTTTTCCGATACGCTACGTATACTCTCCTCATAAGGAGAGAAGCGTATCAGAAACCCTTGACTAGCGAAGATGTTTTGTTAAACAGGTATTTTTTTTTATTTAGAATGCTTACTCCTTGGTGCCATCAGCTTTTCATTAATGAATGTGAGTGATATCAGCTGAAACACACACATCCCCCTTTCGACTTCCCGAAAAACTATTTTAAAATATTCAGCAATATTTTTTTCCTTTGTCATTTTGACTTTGTTACCCGAGCGATTTGTTAATGAAAAGACAAATGTTGGCCTAAGTAGTAATTTTCGTCTAGACAATTTGTCATGATCCATTAATCAGTTAATATTTTCATGATCGTTGTATAGATCTAAGATGTACACATGATAAAAAAAAAGGAATTTCTGACATCTTCAGACATACTTTGCAACATTCAATAAATGCATATCAAAAGGGGAATCTTAAACATTAATTGCAATAAAATCTAGTAATTTTTTAAAATAAAATACAGTAACATGAAGACATGTGCATTTTCAGCACTTACGAGGACTGTTCAATAAATAATGTCCTGAACTCTATGACATGCAACACAGATGTCATATGACAATAAGCTTGGCTTTCTCTCATGCTTGAATCTTTAATGAATTGATATAAGTTTATGTGACCACTTTTCATCTCATATTTTCATTGTGAGAAGCTGGAAAACAAAGACTATTCGAGACACTGCATGAAAAATGAATGGTAAAGAATCGGTAAAGAAGAGTGAAATTAAACGCTTCATGAAAGCTGCTGTAAAACTCGTTAAGAATCCCAAAGAAATATTCACTGAAATATGTGAAATTTACAGCAACCAACGTCTGTTTTATAGACACATGAACAGGTGGATTCCAATGAACAATAATGATATAATGGGTAGCAAAAATGGGTACCGTCCTTGGCGACAAGGACTTACAACAACCAATGTTCTCTTTGCCAAAATTCAACAAATTATTACTTATGATGTTTGATTGTCTTTAAGACACATAGCAAATTTGATAGACATCAATTTGGGGGTAGTTCGAAAAACAGTTTTTATTTTAAAAAAAACATGCTGGGTGCACACAGTACTTCTATTTAATTATTTCTTATGTATCAACAAAGTGTGACCGAGGGGTTATCAAAAAGTTCGTGGACTAGCGCCATAAAATTAAAACCGCTTTGTACATCAATGAGTTTTAAAATATTTATTTAAATCATTAAAGAATAAACCTCAAATCATAAACTATTTTTAAATAAATTAGTAAGTTTTTGTAAGCAATATCTAAACAATTATTCTTTAAAAAATCAGAAATTGTTATTCACGTTCATAAAATATGGAATTTTTACCTAATTCTGGAAGTTCTATGAAATTTTATTGAAATTTTCAAAGAAACAAACAGTTGAAAAATGAAATGAAGTTTTTTTGGAAAAACTGGTATACACCTAGGAAATGTTTAAACTGACTACGGAGAAATAATATGCTCCAAATTTCTTGTTTTTAATGCCAAAATAGATTTCAGGGAGAAAACAAAATTACGATTTGTAGTCGGAATAAGTCTATGTCAAACACTTGACACAAAACAGCAAAGGCCTGAATAGAGCAAAGAATTGCATGAGGTTAAAGACAGTTTTATATGCCTTTTTATTAAATGTTAGTGGTCTGATTTTATAGCCTCAGTCCACGAACTTTTTTGTTATAATTTCAATTTTTAAAATTCTTTTATAGTAATATCTAAAAATTTACATCATATACCCCCAAATTTGATGTTCTTTTCTAAATATTCAAGGTAAATTTGACCTACTTGCTTAAAATCAGAAAAAGTTTAAGAAAATAATATTCTTGCTTATTAAATTTTTTAATGCCAGAAAAATCACTTTTTATTAGTGCAGAAAGGTCAAATAATTGATTATCCGAAGCAATATGAAAAGTCACAAGTCTTTTTTTAAACAAACTTAGTGCTCATTTTGTTTATGGAGAGGAAAACATCAAAAATTTACTTTTTAATCAAGACACAAATTTCAGTGCAAAAAGGTCATATTAAATGTATTGTTGCGCCAAAAGAAGCGTATTGACCCCCATTTTTTGATATGAATTTTAATTAAGCTATGTGTGTAGAAACTAAAAATATATGACAGCGTCTAGCAAATTTGAAGACATCCAAACTATTTAAAAAAAAAAAAAAAACATTTGACAGTGAAAAGGCTTAATTAGTACTCAATGGCCACCCTATGTTTTGAAAAATTAGTGAAAACGACAGCGTGCAAGAATATATATCTAAACAATTATTCTTTAAAAAATCAGAAATTGTTATTCACGTTCGTCTGAAATTCAAAGAGTTAATGAAACTTGAATCCAGTGCTTAAAACTCCCCGGAACAAAATTACAATAAGATGCACTTGACACAAAACAGCAAAGGTCTGAAAAGAGCAAAGAATTGAACATGTATGAGGTTAAAGACAGTTTTATATGCCATTTTTTGTTGGTCTTGTTAAAATTTCCAAACTTGCAAAAAAAAAAACAAAAGTTTTATGAGAGGAAGGAACCAAAATCAGGAATCCACTATATTAAAGTTCTTCAAGTCCAAAACCACACTGCCTGAAAATCATAGAAAGTTAATCTGCCATATTCCAGACTTTTGTTTCATTTTCCAAACTTGAAAAAAGTCCTGGAAATCATAGGATTTGCCATATTCCAGTATACGAAGGGCCATACTCAAAAATGAGTTCTAAAAACAATAAGAAATTGGATAAAATTAAAATGTTACGGACATGAGTTTCAATTTAAAGAGAATATTTAACGTTGAGACTAAGTCATTGAAAAGCGTCTTTTGCTTCTTTACGAGCACCGAGGACATAATTCATTGAACAGCCCTCGTACATGTAATTTGACCGTTCCTCGCGAAAAATAAAAGATTAAGCTTTTTCACATCCATCTACACAACGCCATGGGTCTGGAGTCGAATGCCACGGCAACGTGTTGACCTGTGACCTCTGACATTGCAAGGATGCTTGTGATCATAGACAGCTGCTTTTTTCGATTAAATGAAACTCAAAAATTTGATCACTTACATTCTGATTTTTCAAACAAATACCTGATAGTCTGAAGATGCTGGAGTTCATATATCTTTAAAGGTGCTTGGACAAAGATTTAAAGTTAATATTTTCGCAAATTTTCTGTATGATTTCATGAGTTATATGTTGCTTTAGCATTTCATACAAAACTAGAATAAAAATCTTATTTTTTCTCGAAGTTATTGAAACTTCGTAAATGTATTTCTGGACGTGATTGATTGACACATCCTTGCACTTTCACAAATTTAATTTTTATTCTTTATACTCAAGATAAGTAGCAATTTTCTTGTGTATTGATGAAAAATATTAATCCAGAAGATTCAGAGTAGAAATGTGAGAAAGCAAAACCCAATAACAGTATTGTCAGTCCGTTCTCAGTGGTATGTGCAGTGGTTTAACAATTGAACACACCCAGTGAATCGAAAACAGTAACAATAAGTGAGCTTGTGCCCTGTTTACAAATACAGTTTACGTTTCATGGGTGTATAATTTCAATTAGTTAAGCTATGTACACAACACTGATCACGGACTGACGATATTTGTGAGTAGGTTTTGCTTTTGAACATTTCTACGCTGAAATTTCTGGATTATAGATGTAATATTTTTTCATTAATACACATCAAAATTGCTACTTTTCTTAAATATTAACTTAAGGATAAAGTTAAAATGTTTAAAAGTAAGTGCAAGGATGTGTTAATCAAACGAGTCCCGAACTTTCTACTTCCAATGATTTCCAGATAAAATAAGTTTTTTAATATATTTTCGTGTGAAATGCTATTACAATATATAGTAATTCAATTTATTTAATGACAACACTACCATACATTGGCATATAGTCAAGAATACAACAATTAACATACAAAATAAAAAATATCCAGTGAAATATATGGAGATAACGAAGGGTATTCAAGATAAAAAGTCCATAAAACAGTACAAAATAGGAGCAGAGCAAACACGGACCTCCAAAACATCAGAGGTAGGATCAGGTGCCATGGAGGAGTGAGCATCTCATTGCCAACCGGACACACCCGCCTTGTACTCCTTGTCATGATCGGGAAATAACGGAAAAATCCGTCGTCAATTCAGTGTATAAATAATGTACTTACAACTAGTATGAAAAACGTCATCAGCATTTGACTCAATGAAAAATTGTTTTTGCTGACAAGGTCATTGTATCGACCATAGAACTAACGAAATGATGACTTTGAACGAAACTGCTGATATTCTTGTTTTATCAACTTGTTTGTTAATATTTTACCTCGTTTTAGAAATTGTCCATATGTAGAGCATGCTGTAAGCATTTCAGGTTTGTTGAAGGTTTTCCTCCCTAATATCAAAGCACTTTTTCAAAGAGTTACGTACTCTTCTAGCAATTTTAATACTTGTAGGGTTGATAATGTCAATAATGGGACTTTCCTTCATGTAACAATGAGCATTAAATACACGTATATCGCGATATTGTAATCCAAGTTGTGATATTATACAAAAAATTTGAGAATATATTAAGTTCAAATCTGTGTCTAGGCACCTTTAAAAACCACCATAATATTAATGTCAATGAACACTAATTGTCAAGCAGCAAATTTGTCACTGAAGACTCGTTACTTATTCAGATGTGTTTGCAGGAACATAAGCAAAAACATATTGTTGATGCAGAGGCATATATTTTATTATGAATGTGTTGTTATAGCAGTTATACTTAATATCAAATTTGTAGCAAAAAAGTCCAAGACAATCTTAATTACAATAAACTTTTAATATGCATCATAAAATGAAATTTAATTGCATTGAAGTGAATAGTTCTAAAAGTTACAGATCTTTCATCATGACTAAGAATAATCTTTTGAAGATTTCGTTAGCAACAACATTTATTTCATTCAGGAGCATTCCTTTGGGTTGGGGATGGGTATGACTGTCTGTTATATTTGACTTAGTCCTACAGTCCTAAGTTGTAGAATACTCCTTTAAGATGTAGATATGGACTGCTGGGTCCTACAATCCTATAGTGTAGGACCGCCCCTTTGGATTGTGGATCGGTAGGACTGTGGGCTCTACCATGGTCCACTCATACCAGACATTCTTGGCAGTACAGCTTCTCCAGATGTGAAGTATGACCTGGTCATCTTTCTTCACATAAACTGGGGTCTGAAACACAAATATTTACATCAAACAATAGCCTTATGTATGGCATATAAATCAACAAGAGGCCCATGGGCCACATCCCTCACCTGAGTAGCTTTGACCGTGCTGTTCTTTACAAAATTTCCCCATTGTGATAACCTTTTGGGATTCCAAATAATGGCCCTGTCCTACCCTGGGGGTCATGAATTGAACAATTTAGAATCTACACTACCCCTGGATGCTTCCACATAAGTTTCAGTTTTTCTGGCCCAGTGGTTCTTGACAAGAAGATTTTTAAAGAATTTTCTTACATATTTCTTTGTAAAACTTTGATATCCTATTGTGGCCCTGCCCAACCCCCGGGGGTCATGATCTGAACAATTTAGAATTTACACTATCCCAGGATGCTTCCACATAAATTTCAGCTTTTCTGTCCCAGTGGTTCTTGAGAAGAAGATTTTTAATTTTTATTTTTTCTATATATTTCTATGTAAAACTTTGATTCCCTATTGTGGCCCTGCCCAACCCCCGGGGGTCATGATTTGAAGAATTTAGAATCTACACTATCCTAGGATGCTTCCACATAAGTTTCAGCTTTTCTGTCCCAGTGGTTCTTGAGAAGATTTTTTACCAGACCCCACCCTATTTTTGTCTTTTCTTGATTATCTCCCCTTGGGAGGGGACTTGGCCCTTCATTTTAACAATTTAAACTCCCCTTCACCCAAGGATGCTTTGTACCAAGATTGGTTAAAATTGGCCCAGTGGTTCTTGAGAAGAAGTCGAAAATGTGAAAAGTTTACAGATGGACGGACGGACAGACAGCTAGATGGACGGACGATGGAAAAAATGTGATCAGGAAAGCTCACTTCAGCCTTTGGTTCAGGTGAGCTAAAAAGTCCTTGTCAAGATGACTTAATCTCTAAGAAAGATTTGAATCATCAAATTATCAAGTGTAATGCAACCTTTAGGTTATGTCTAACTTAATCTGGTAGGAATGACATTTATAGGGCTATCATTTTATTAATTGTCCCCCGCTTTTGCGAAAGCGAGGGGACATTAAATCTCATTCGTCTGTCCGTCTGTCACGTCCGTCTGTCACAAAAATTTTAACCTTGCCCATAACTTTTGATTGAGGGGAGCTATGGCTCTCATATTTCACTTGTGTATCCTTGTGACAAGACCTTCTTTGGGTACCACCAAATTTGACCTTTTGACCTTGACCTTGGAGTTCGACCCACTTTCACACTAAAATTCTTAATTTTTACTTTAATCATAACTATTGAACGGTAAAGACTAGGGCTTTCATATTTCACATACAGGTAAATATCAGTATCTCGAACATGGGATATTTCGAATATCCCGCTTATGTCGAAGTCGATCGCCAGTCCCGACCGTTTTCTCTATATTTATGATTTAAAAAACACCTGATATCTCGAACACGGTAATCTCGAATACCCCGCTTATGTCGAAGTATATTCAAAGTCCCAAGCCAAATTTTTACCTGGCTTATCTCGAAGTGCAGTGAATTTCTCAGTCTACTGAACACACCTGGCGTCGTGACTTCACACATTCTCGCCAGTGGCTATTAATTAACACCTTCAAACCGGGGGAATTTTAATTTTAAATTTTGATTAATCCCAAGCTCAAGTTGGGTATCTGTGGCAGGTAAATGGTACCAGAGCTTGGGTGTTTGGTGTAGTCTACGACCGATAAAACAAACCACTTCGCAGCAATTCATAAAAACAGACAGTATAACTATTACTGATATTGCATTTAATAATATGCTCTGTATAATTTTAAAATCGTAAATTCATAAAACACAAAGATTTTTCAAGATAAACTTAAATTTTAAACAGTTAAGTTGCAGTGCGTAATGCAAAGTGCAGTGATTGATTACATTCATGTTTATCTGCGTATAAATAGATAACCTTGACCGCCATTTGCATTGTTAGTTTCGTAAACCATATGTTCCTTAGTGATACTTCGTAATGTAATATATGTAAACTGTTTATAATACTTAGGTACACAGTTTAAATACTTATTACTTTTTTAGTGCTCTGAATAACATTTTTCATCAAATAATGTTTTTTAAAAATTCGTCTTTTTCTTTTCTTACGAAGAAGGTTCTTCAACTATAACGCCAATGATGCATCCCGTTTGACCACGTAAGCATGGCCTGGAAAATGTAAAATCACTGTATATGCAATAAATTATAAGGCATGTATATTAAATTGTTTTACAATTATACACGATAAAGAAAACGACAACATTGTTTTTCTTAATATTTATTGCGAATATGCTTGAGTCTTTACCGTAAAGACTACATGTTTGGTAATACAGGACAGTGTTATGCATGAAGATACATACGGGAAAAAAAAAAACGGGAAATTATTGATTCGACGTTGGAAGATAACTTCGGATATCTCGAACCCCCGGATATCTCGAAGTCGTATCCAGGTCCCCTCAACTTCGAGATACTGATATTTCACTGTATATATTTTTGTGGCAAGGCCTTTCACTGGATACCAACAAGTTTGACGTTTTGACCTTGGAGATTTCCGTAATTATGAAAAAAACTTTGAACAATAAGGGCTAAGGCTTTAATACTTCACATACATAATTCTTTTAAAAAGACCTTTTATTGGATACCAAGAACTTTGGCCCTTTGACCTTGGAGTTTGACCTACTTTTAAAAACAAATATTGACCATAACTTTTGAAGGGTTAGAGCTAGGGCTTTCATTATTCACATATGCAATCCTTGTGAAAGGAACCTTTCATCTGATATCAAGAACACTGACCCTCGGACCTTGACCTTGGAGTTTGACCTTTTTAAAGACTGTGACCTTGGCCATAACTTTTGAACAGTAGATTATAAGACTTTTCATATTTCACATAAGTATTTTTTGTGGCAAGAACTTTCATTTGATACAGGCAACTTTGAACTTTTGACCTTGACCTTGGAGATCTTCGTACTTATGAAAAAACTTTAACCTTGGCCATAACTTTTGAACAGTAAGGGCTAGGGCTTTCATACTTGACATATTTAATTCTTGTGACAGGACCTTTCATTGGATATCAAGAACTTTGACCTTGACCTTGGAGTTTGACCAACTTTTTAAAAACTTTAACCTTGGTCATAACTTTTGAACAGTTAGGTTTAGGGCTTTCGTATTTCACATATGTAATACTTGTGAGAAGACCTTTCTTATTAAACCAACAATTTTGGCCCTTGACCTTGGAGTTTGATGTAAATTTCAAGAACTTATCCCTGGCCATAACTTTTGAACAGGTGCTGTTAGGGCTTTCATATTTCACAATCGTATTTCTTGTGAGAAGACCCTACTTTGAGTTATATTTAATTTGCATTTAAGAATCTCCGATTTGTTGTCATACATGTCATCAGTGTTTCACAAACACATTCTGTTTCTTCTATTGAGAAGATATAGGGCTTTCATATTTGACATGTGCATTACTTGTCACACGATATTTCCAAGGATGCTATGATTTCTGACCCCTTGACCTTCACAATTGACCTTAAAAAAAAATCAACTTCAGTGATAATTTTAAATGACATTTGATATGGCGTTCATGTTTGACACAATATGTCATACAAAATGACATCTCACCCACAAAGACACCGAAAGCGGGGGACCACAATTCTTTGAATTTGCTTGTTGTTATTTGCCCTCTCTGACTAACTAAAACAGTGCAACTCAAAACTTTTTTAAATTCCAGAAAACAATTATTTTTGGTATTCTAATCCAATCTACCTATTTTAAAACCATATTTGTATATAGCAAGCAAACTTTTTCTGCTCTTCTACGATATTATATGCTTCACTAGTATTGAAGTACATACAGTGGAACCTCAGATATCCAGACCCCAGATATCCGGATGCTTCAGTATCCGGACGACTTTTCATCGGGACGAAATTTTTAAATGTTATATTGTCTTGTTTAACTGGTGATTCAGGTATCCGGACGCTTCACATATCCGGACAAATTGACTAGGAAGCAAAGCGTCCGGATAAATGAGGCTCCACTGTACATCATAGAAATGCAAGTCCGCTTTTAATTATTAGCAATTTTTTTTCTGAAATAAGTTGTCTTCTTATACTTTTATAAAATATACAGCATGGCCAAGTCAAACAGAAAGACTAAGTTTATGTTTTGTTAGTGAACCTATACTAATCTGCTACCCTTACCTTGATAGGAAATAGGATGGGGAACCAGCTAAACATGCCTGGAGAATGGGTCTCTGGATGTATACCTATAAAATATAACATCTGTAATCAAAGAGTTCTGAATTTATAGACCTGTAACATCAAGTCTTTATTATCTATTCCTCTGTACCTATTTTAGTGAATAATAAAAGAGTTCTAATATCACATTACTTAGAGTATTGAAAGACAAACTTGGAAAAAGATAACAGAAGAAACAGGAATCAATCTCCATCATCTAACACTGTAGTACCAACCCATAATAGGAATAGGGCTTCAACAGACTCTGGAGAGACCAGAGATGGGATCACGTGCCAAGAAGGAGTAAGCATCCCTTGTCATTACAACCATGTTCAAGTAAATGGAGACTATGTTTTACTACAATATTGTATTTAGCACCAAGGCAGCTTATTTCAAAAACTTGATCGTACATTCTATCTACAATGGTCTTGATCGTAGTTTCTATTTACAAGGGTAGCTGGTTAATGAGACCATAAAACACTGTCTAACAATAACTCTATACATCCTGATTGAAAAGAATTTTATCTTTACGAAAAACTAACTTATAACAGGATGTTGATTCAAAGTCTAACCTCAAAGGTCAAGGTCACTGGGCAATGAAATAGTGAATATGGAGTCAGAACCATAATTTTCCATGAAATGCATTGAAGTAAACTTTGTATTATTTACAGTAAAAGGGAAACTTATTTATGAATGGGGAATCTGATCTGGGCCGCAACTGATTCAAGACTTTACAAAAGGCTTGTTAATTTCTGTTTGTTTCAATGATTTTAGGCTTCATACCTATGCTAATTTGCTTCAGATCTCAAAAATCAATTCATTACAGTATGTAGGGACGGGAAGAACCTTATCATACAAATTAAATATAAAGCTTCATATTGACAATGCATTTGGAGTTTATCTAGAATTTTTTTTTTTTTTTTTGGACATTTTGATGTGTTTAGTGTTATTTTCTTCTTGATGTTTTTGTTTACTTTACAATATATATTTAAAAATTAAAAATATGAAATTGTTGTAAACAGATTATATAACTGAAATCCAAAGTTGTGCAGATTCTGATATTTAATCTTACAGTTTGAAAACTTGAGCTAATCAGTGTGATGTGCTTACTTACTCAGTGTAATATTATCATAAAGAACAGTGTCAAAGTATCCGGCAAAGCCATGGATGATTGCATCCTGATTAATGTCAAACTCCAGTGAAGCGTAACGACTATTGTCAATGACTGCATCTGCAAAAAGAGAACATCTCATTTATATCATATTTAATTTCAAAGACGTACTTTTTTTCCATATTTCAATCCATATCAAAAACCTTTTTTAAGAGAGTCTCCAGAACAAATATACATTTCTGAAATAAAAATTTACTACATTGAATAATAAAAACACTATTTCCAAAATATATGGCTCATCCCCCCGCACCCCTAAAAAACTTAATTATTAAGCATTTTAATTTAACTTTTTTTAACAGGAACAAGTGTCTGAGCTTAAGAAGAATATCCCCCTTTCTATGGATTGTACAGTCTGAGTTATTTTAGGTGATACTTTTGTATTCATTGAAATTAAACTCTTAGACTAGACCCCTTTTTTAATCACCAGAAAGGCAAGAGAAGTTGCACCTGGGATTAACTATCAGTCAATATAAACTAAACAAAGGTTTCAATACATCTAATTGACTTTTAAAACTATACTTTAATAAATGTGAAGCCACAGGCAGAAGTTCCTTAGAGAGAGGTGTGTGAAAAATTAGATCAATATTCCTAGTTTATTTTTTGTTTTGTAATTAACTTTAGGTCACTGAACACCTGACCCATACATGCTATTTGTATATGTTGCAGGAATGAATCAAAAGATTGTTTTCCGATACATATTGTATGCTTTTAATGTCTGACCTCACAAACAAGATTCTTGTTATTTTGATCAAGGTTCACCAACTCTCTGTTGACTCATATGACATTTGGCTTGCAATGGTGTGAATAAAATAAAATCTGCATTAACACATTAAATGGTATGACTAAAATGTGTAAATGACTAAATTGTAAAGTTAAATGGAAAACAACAGATGAATGTCTGATGGCATTCAATTAGAAATGTTCATCTGATATTGTGTGCTAAAAACATTGGTAATCAAAGATTACAAAGCTCACCAACCACATCTTCTCAGACCTTTCCAGCAAGCTTGAAAAAGCACCTCAAATGTAATTACATTACATAAACTGTATATTAAAAACAAGAGATGTTTGTAAAACACTTATGCCCCCCTCCCCCAAACTGGAATTTTTCTAAGTCCAAAAGAGCACAACTCTGTCAGAAATGGTGCGATTGTACCCAAAAGAGCACTTGACCAAGATATTTATCTGATAAATCGTTTTACCAAATTTCATCTCAGTATATGCAACCTTTGCAAAGAAAATGAACGGAAACTGCATATAACTGGAATTTTTATAAGTCCACTGGACATAACTCTGTGAAAAATGGTGCGATTGTACCCAAAACAGAACTTGGCCTAGAAATACATCTGATAAATCTGTACGCTAAATTTCATTTCAGTATGTGCAATTGTTGCGAAGAAAATGAATGGAAACTGCAAATAATTAAAAATTTTCTAAGTCCAAGGGGCATAACTCTGTCAAAAATGGCGCGATTGTACCCAAAACAGAACTTGACCTAGATATTCATGTAATATATCAGTATACCAAATTTCATTTCAGTATGTGCAACAGTTGCAAAGAAAATGGACGGAAACTGCAAATAATTGAAATTTTTCTAAGTCCAAGGGGCATAACTCTGTCAAAAATGGTGCGATCGTACCCTAAACAGAACTTGACCTAGATATTTATGTGATATATCTGTATACCAAATTTCATTTCAGTATGTGCAATGGTTGCGAAGAAAATGAACGGAAACTAAGTGGACTGACAGACCGACCGACAGACCGACAGACAGCAGCAAAGCAATATGACCTCCCTTCTTCGAAGGGGGGCATAATAATCATTTGAGTCGCATATGCTTGATGTATTTTACCTTTCTTTTCATAAATGAAAATATCTCCTATAGAATAATAAAGTGCCCCACCACAGCATGATACGCCCGTCAAATATTGTTCAATAATCATAAATTGGTTGGGGTGCAAGAAAATCAAGTAACCTTGATTAACAGATTGACACAGATTTCAATGATCTAATTTCCATTTCTTATGTTTAAAATATTGTACAAACATCTCTAAGAGACTTACAGTGTAGGGATTAATAATAACAAATAAAACATCATATAATTCTAAACTGGCTGTGTTAGAGCTTAACAAATATCCATCTGCAGCTTTAAATTGTTTATTGCATATTTTATGAAATAATGGAAATGCTACAGTCTAATAAAAAAAATCAAAAATGAATTATTCTTCAGACTATAAAATTCTAAGTGAGACATGACTGCAATTTGTTGCAAATATATAAAAACTGAAATGTAATTTTTTTTTTCAATGAACACATGTATAATTAGTTTTAATTATATTATATACAATACTAATTTAGTTTTAATCATAAAACTAAAACATCAATTTGTTTTAATTACATTACACCAATTGAAAGATCTTTATCTGGACTATAGCCATCAAGAACTCTTAATGAACACAAGCAACTATGAGGCCATTTCTTTTTGCCCAACTCCCAAGAGATAAATTAAGATAACACTGCATGATCAGATCTAGAGATGCTCTTGACAGTTAGCTCCCGACAATAAACTCATTAATTTCTCTCTAATTTGACATGCACATTTCTGCTATCAAAATTCTCCTTGACCAGTGCTTGATAATTATGCCCATGGGACAAACTGAGTTCCTCTCAAAATATTAACATTTGTTACAGATTGCTGTAAAGTATATGATGAAAAAATAAGTTTTTACTTAATTTAACATTTTTTAATAAGGATACAACTAAATTTTTACATTTTTTAGGATTATGAAATTTAAAATTTAAAAGACTTATTTTTTAAAAATAATCACTTTAATTAAAGGTCACAGTGACCTTGAAATAGGCCGCGACACACCTACTACCTTAGATGTATACTTTTGCCAAGTTTGAAAGCTCTAGGTCTAATAGTTTTCTAGTTATGAGCCGGACAGGATTTTTCCATATTTGGCTATAGCATCTTTATTAAAGGTCAGAGCGACCTACTTTTTGTGCGCGACACACCGTCTACCCAAGAACTATCAGTTGACAAAGTTTGATAGTCCTAGGCCTAATAGTATTAAAGTTATGAGCCGGACATGAATGGACAGACGGACGGACATGAAGCCTATAACATAATACGACGGGCGTATAAAAAAAAGTTATCATTATAGTATAGAGGATATTTTTATTTATGAAGAGAAAGGTTAAAAATGTCAAGCGCCTGGGATTTGAGTGTCTAACTTTCCCTCCATTAAAAACATGACCTTATTTGGGTGTCTGAATTACCCTCACATTAAAAACCTACAACTATTAGGGTGCCTGCCCCTCTAAATACCTAACCCTATTTAGGTGTCAGACTTCCCCTTACAACCCCCACCCCACTATTTACTTATCCTATTTGGGTATCCCCCCCACTCACACTATTTGCTTACCTCTATTTGGGTGTCTGCTCCCCCCACACCCCCACAACACATACAGTTTTACTTACCCCTATTTGGGTGCCCCCCTCACTATTTACTTATCCCTATTTGGGTGCCCCCCTCATTATTTACTTATCCCTATTTGGGTGCCCCCCTCACTATCTACTTACCCCTACTTGGGCCCCCCTCCTCACTATTTACTTACCCCTATTTGGGTGCCCTCCTCACTATTTACTTATCCCTATTTGGGTGCCCCCTCACTATTTACTTATCCCTACTTGGGTGCCCCCCTCACTATTTACTTATCCCTACTTGGGTGCCCCCTCACTATTTACTTATCCCTATTTGGGTGACCCCCTCACTATTTACTTATCCCTATTTGGGTGCCCCTCACTATTTACTTATCCCTACTTGGGTGCCCCCCTCACTATTTACTTATCCCTACTTGGGTGCCCCCCTCACTATTTACTTATCCCTATTTGGGTGCCCCCTCACTATTTACTTATCCCTATTTGGGTGCCCCCCTCACTATTTACTTATCCCTACTTGGGTGCCCCCCTCACTATTTACTTATCCCTATTTGGGTGCCCCCTCATTATTTACTTATCCCTATTAGGGTGCCTGCTCCCCCCCCCCCACATTACTTACCCCTATTTGGGTGCCCCCCCCTCACTATTTACTTATCCCTATTTGGGTGCCCCGTCATTATTTACTTATCCCTATTTGGGTGCCCCTCACTATTTACTTATCCCTACTTGGGTGCCCCCCTCACTATTTACTTATCCCTATTTGGGTGCCCCCTCACTATTTACTTGTCCCTATTTGGGTGCCCCCCTCACTATTTACTTATCCCTACTTGGGTGCCCCCCTCACTTTTTACTTATCCCTACTTGGGTGCCCCCCTCACTATTTACTTATCCCTATTTGGGTGCCCCCTCATTATTTACTTATCCCTATTAGGATGCCTGCTCCCCCCCCCCCCCCACACACACACACACATTACTTACCCCTATTTGGGTGCCCCCCTCACTATTTACTTACCCCCATTTGGGTGCCTGCTCCCCCCCCCCCTTCACACACACACACATAACTTACCCCTATTTGGGTGCCTGAATTTGAAGACTTCTTGTGGAGGGGCTAACTCCTTACAATTGTGAAGTCTAACAACATATGGAGTCTCAAAGTTATGCTGAAAATAATAAAACAGATAAAAATAAACCATGAAAGTGTACCCTGTTTTCTGAAGTGATCTGAACTGTTATACTCATATTCAATAGGTGTTGTGTGTGTGAGAGAGTATGCCCAGCTATATTCACGTCAAAAGGTTTGTTAGAACGGAAGTTGTGTGAGTGTGTGTTTGTCTCTCTGTGTATAAATACACTTCTATACTAACGTCAATAGGTGTTGTGTGTGTGAGAGTGTACACACTGCTATACTCACGTCAATAGGTTTGTTAGAACTGGTGTTGTAAGTATCAAGGTGTGTGTGAGGGTGTGTCTGTCTGTCTGTGTGTATACTCACATCAATAGGTTTGTTAGAACTGGTGATGTAAGTGTGAGGGTGTGTCTGTCTGTCTGTGTGTATACTCACGTCAATAGGTTTGTTAGACCCCGTGTTATCTTTACACACTCGGACCTCATTGTAAAGTTTCTCAGACATCAGTGGTGACATATAGGATGTATACTCACAAGGTATACTGATGCCATCATCTTAAAAAATTCACACTAAATAATCAGGATGACTTCATTTTATAAGATATAAAACTTATCATTATTGCTATTAAAGATACATGCTTTCAAACATGAAGGTACTATTTCTTTATTTCTGAAGAATAAAACCAGAGAACATGCTGATATCCTTGTGATTTTGACTGCTTTCAGTCAATGGTGGACAAAATATACATATTTCACAAGAAAAAAATGTTTTCAAACAAAAATACACCAAAATGATAATTTTATGATCGATCTTAAATGATATTCATTATATAATTTTATTAAACAAATTAGATTTCATAGTTGAATAAATTAACAGAAGAAGGGCATAATTATAAAGGATTAAGTGTTGACCCTCAGAATACTGATGAAATCAACTGTGCATAAAAAAAAAGGACCCTCTCTACACCTGCAATATGTTTTTTAGACATTTAGAAAAATATAATCTATAAAGGTGTTGATATTGAATTTTTCTATTTAATTTTCACTATTTGGAAAAATAGGAAAAATAACCAAACACAACACAATATCAGCGAATAGAAATCACTGTTGTTTACTTCAACATAGAAAATACATATATGTAACATGTTCAATTAATTTATCTCTTGGCCTTTTAATATCTTAAGAATACTTGAATTGATTACAAATTGAGTAATATATTGTAAATTCTATTTTTTTTTTTTAGAATTTAGGTCTAAGGGCAGATCAATCTAACTGCAGAAAAATTCAATAGAATCAGAACTCTTTAGTGTGCAATGTAGAGAGGTTTCTTAAATAGCAAATCTGTCAAACATGTTGTGTTATGTGTATGTAAATATAGGTTATAATAAAGAGTAAACATTCCTATTTCTTTTTGTACATAGAATTAATAATAATGAAAGCAAACCTGAAAGCTGATATAATGTGTTACCTTGTAAAAATCTTTGTGCTCCATCTAGACATTCTGGGGAGAGTTCATTATCTCCAAACGAACCAAGCAGTTCACTGACCAAGATGTCCGCCTTCTCCGGAGCCTCCCAGAGCCGCATGTCACATGACACCACCTCAACCAGGTCCCCCCACATCTCCTCCTTCATGTTCTCCAACCTTCAACAAAAATAAACAAGATTTATATTCCTCAACACATGTCACACGACAGTCACATGACACCAGTCACATGACACGACCTCAACCAGGTCCCCCCACATCTCCTCCTTCATGTTCTCCAACCTTCAACAAAAATAATCAGTATTTATATTCCTCAACACATGTCACATGACAGTCACATGACAACAGTCACATGACACCATCTCCACCAGGTCCACCCACATCTCCTCCTTCATGTTCTCCAACCTTCAACAAAAATAAACAAGATTTATATATTCCTCAACACACGTCACATGACAGTCACATGACAACAGTCACATGACACCATCTCCACCAGGTCCACCCACATCTCCTCCTTCATGTTCTCCAACCTTCAACAAAAATAAACAAGATTTATATATTCCTCAACACATGTCACATGACAGTCACATGACAACAGTCACATGACACCATCTCCACCAGGTCCACCCACATCTCCTCCTTCATGTTCTCCAACCTTCAACAAAAATAAACAAGATTTATATATTCCTCAACACATGTCACATGACAGTCACATGACAACAGTCACATGACACCATCTCCACCAGGTCCACCCACATCTCCTCCTTCATGTTCTCCAACCTTCAAACAAAAATAATCAGGATTCATATTCCTCACATTCCTAAACAAACATGGAGAAAACAATTTATATGACAATACAAAAATCTATAGAAGTGAGAATAATAAATTAAGGACGTTTGATCCTGTGCTTTTGAGTCGAATTTGGTCTGGACCTTTATTTCTAATATTCTGCATCGTTTTTAAGTTTTAACGTTGAATTTAGATTCTACAATGCAAATTAAACTATATCCATTGCAAAAACTGCAATTAAATTCCTTTCAAGAAGGGTTATCCAGGGACTATATTTTGGGGCGGAAGGTTTTTTAGAAGAAAATTATCAATTTATCCCTTTCGAACTTTATAGAGTACTGTTAATTTTAGATTCCTATTTTTCCATGCTGGTTGCACACAAAGCTGTTTTTTGCAGTGAAATGTGTTATGCGTGTTCTGAAATATCTATTAAATTATTTCTTATGAATTCTTTCGACGAATTATGACAAATATAGTAAATATATTCTGAAAGTCCAGGAAAAAATTGAGCCAATTTTAACAGAAAATTGATAAATTTTTTGTAATATCTAAAAATTTCCATCATATACCCCCCACTTTTGGTTTTCTTTTCTGAATATTTAAGATAACTTTGACCTACCTGCTTAAATTCAGCATAAGTTTAAGACTTTAAAATAATTTTCTTGCTTATTAAATTTTCAATGCCAGAAAAATCACATTTTGTGAGTGCAGAAAGGTCAAATAATTGATTATGCATAGCAATTTGAAACTTTTTCCTAGTCACAATTTTCAAGTGTCTTTTTTAATATAGACATAGTTTTATTTTGTTCCATGCTTCATTTGGATTAAAATATTAGAGGGAAAATGTTGAAGATGTAATTTTTTATTAAGACATAGATTTCAGTGCAAAAAGGTCATATTTAATGTACTGTAGCGCCAAAAGAAGCGTATTGATCTCCATATTTTGATTTGATTTTTAATTAAGCTATATGTGTAGAAAGTAAAAATATACTTGACAAAAAAAGTTTGACTTTAAATATCAGGATCGAACATCGTTAAGTTACCAATCCAATGACTGTCATCCCATAGATTGGAGTCGATTTTAATTGATTTAGTCACATTTACTTAAAGAAAAGAACTGTCATCTGCTAGGTCACCTGGCCTGATGCCTTCAGTAAGGACTGGATCAACTTGATAGCAATAGTCCAAATAACATATAACATATAGTTGTTTCTTACTTGTACATAGAAATGTTCTTCTAAATATTGCCCTGTATATTGTACCTCCTATTCATTGTTATAGAACTCACGTTACCACAGCATTGGGGTTTTTCTCCACGGCGTACACCTTGCGGATTTTTCGGTCAGCCTGATGGGATGCCGCTATTGAGGCCCTCACCAGGGGCCCCCTACCTGCCCCTACCACCATCAAAACACTGCAAAGGAAGGAAAAACAAGGCTATCAAAACAGTATTTATACATTTCACATGTTCTTTGCTAATATACTGTTTAGAAAGCTTCTACCTTCAACAACATCATAAAATGCAAGGAGGGGGGGGGGGGTGTGTGTGAAAAGGTTAATCAACAATCATCATACAAGGTATGTTCTGTATCCATTTCTCTAGGATATAGCAAATCCAAAATAGAGCAAAGACTATACGAGGCCCACGGGCCACATGGCTCACCTGAGTAACTTTGGTGATGCAGTTCTTTACCAGATTTCCCCTCTTGTTATACTTATTGTGGCCCCCTAACCCCTCCCCTGTCATGATTTTAATACAGTAACTTTAGAATCTACACTACCCCATGATGCTTCCACATAAGTGTCAGCTTTTCTGGCCCAGTGGTTCTTGAGAAGATTTTTAACGATTCTCCCTGTATATTTCTATGTAAAACTTGGATTCCCTATTGTGGCCCCGCCCTACCCCCAGGGGGTCATGATTTTAACAACTTAAAATCTACACTACCCCTGGATGCTTCTACATAAGTTTCAGCCTTTCCTGGCCCAGTGGTTCTTGAGAAGAAGAGTTTTTAATGACCCTACCCTATTTTTGTCTTTTCTTGATTATCTCCCCTTGCAAGGGGATTTGGCCCTTCATTTTAACAATTTAAACTTCCCTTCACCCAAGGATGGTTTGTATCAAGTTTGGTTAAAATTGGCCCAATGGTTCTTGAGAAGAAGTTGAAAATGTCAAAAGTATTCGAGTACTTATACAATGTACTACATTTATAATTAAATTATAGTACATTGTATAAGTACTAAGGCTGGGTATTGGCCAGAGATTTAGTATTGTGATATTTTAAATTGTATTGGGATATGTATTGCAATATTTTCAACAAAAATTCAAAGGCCATTTTCTTATCATATTAAGCTTAATTAACATGCAGAATAACATAATTATGGTAAGTAACCAAATGGGAAAAAATCTTGTTGACCTTATTAAAGTTATGCTCTGAAATACATCTCAAAACAGCTTTTGTCTTACTGTCTGGCTAAAAAAGAAACTTTTCTTACATTTAATTTTATTTTAATGATAAAATTCATTAGTCTTAGCAATTTTCCATTATGTCGATATCACAAAAAACATATTGCAATACAATATTTTTTGTCAATGTATTCCAAAATATCAATATTTTTGCCCAGCCCAAATGAGAAAATGAAAACGGAACTTTTTTTCTTGATAAGATAAGATAATATTTATTTAAAGTCAGGTACATCAACAAAAAACATTAGCTCTGAAGAGCTATTTTCTGACTACAATATGACTTGTCTCCACAGTACTAACTTTTTATTTTATCAAAAATATGATAAAACTTGAAATTTGACTTCAAACATTATGTGTGTGGGCCAGAGAACCATCATTTCAATTTTATTTAGCATGTGAAGCAAGTCTGGTAATTTCTTTCCCTAGTTGCATCAATCATACAAGTTTGGTCCATGTAGGGCTATACGTGTAGTAACTTGGAAATGGATTTTCTCCTAAAACTTCGTTATATATGGGTATATCATCAGCTGATCTCAACTTTTTGAGCTAAAAAAATGCATTCCTACGTTTGTCAATTCACCATCAGTTTCCATTCATTTTCTTTGCAGTGGTTGCACATATTGAAATGAAATTTGATATACAGATTTATCATAAGAATATCTAGGTCAAATTTTGTTTTGGGTATGATCGGGCCAATTTGAATAGAGTTATGCCCCTTAGACGTAGAAAAATTCCAATTATTTGCAGTTTCCGTTCATTTTCTTTGCAGAAGTTGCACATATTGAAATGAAATTTAATATACAGATTTGTCATAAATATATCTAGTTCAATTTCTGTTTTGGGTATGATTGGGCCATTTTGGACAGAGTTATGCCCTTGGACTTAGAAAAATTCCAATTATTATAAAGCCCCAAAACAGGGTGTTAGTAAATATTATTATCTGACAGTTAATAAAGATCTTGTTAGCAGCAAGTGGAGTTATCTATCTAATACGGATGGCAAATGAAGAGTGAATTGCCAAAGAGTTAGCTGCAAAATGTTCCGACTGATTAATCGGTTAATTGTATCAAAATTTCTCAACATATTTCATCATTATGTAGGCTCTACTCAAATAAACAAGTTATGTCACACATATAGCGTGATCTATCAATTAATAAATATCTTGTTAGTGTCAAGTGGGATTTATATCTTTTTAATAAGGATGGCAATGGAATACAAAAGAAGATGGGTGAACAAGGCGGGCAGAATGCCTATAGCCTCCGATATTAAGAAATCATATTAAATATGTGAATTGATTATTTAAATTAACTTCTAATTATTGAAATTTTTGAAATTATGAGAAAAAAGAAACTTTTCTGAGAGAAAAAAATCTCGTAAAAAATTTTCTCTCATAAAATTATTAGATGGTATTCGTGGGATTCGAACTCTAGCAATAAAAATCCGGCGTATCAATATCATACTGCTTTGAGACTAACGCGTTAACCACTATGCTACAACGTGGTGATTTCATTTAAATCATGTTTGTGATAAACTTAATGGACTTGAAGTATTTCTCGGAAAGATGCTAATGTTGTGTCATAAAATTGTACAGGTATAGTGGGTGATGTTTTTGAAAACCAAAAAATGTGTATTTTATAGCACACTTTTAGGATCATCTTTCAAAAAAATGGAGAGAAGACCCACTCATATTGAAAAACTTTGTTTAAGTATTAGAAAATGATCGTTTTTGTTCTTTTTAGTGTGTGTAAGCATTTTCATAGGCAAATATTTTCAGTCTCTGTGAGATTTTTGTAAATTGTAGAGATTTTACATAAAGTATACTTTAATATTAGATGAAATATCAAGTAAAATTTGGAGTCAATTGAGATTGAAATTTTCACTTCTTATCTGTCGCACTATAGGCATTCTGCCTGCCTTATTCACCCATCTTCTTTCCAATCCATTCACCGCTATGCACTCCTACCAATTAAGCAGTTAAGGACAGACGAGACGTTCCTCAATAATATATAACTTTTTCCAAGATTTTGTCCTTGAAGAATTACTACTTTAACATGTTTACTCACAAAAATTGAGGTACCTTACCAGGCATTTGTGCGAGATACCAGAGGATGGCATTTCTTATATAATCCTTTAGGGAAAAAAACTTAGTTTGCAAAAATCATATTTTTAGGGTTTCTAATTAAAAAAAAAAAAAAAGAAACCTATGGAATCCGGATAGGGCCAAACAGTTCACTATCGCACCAAGCATCAACTTAGAGGTCGATGGCGCGATAATGCGATGGCACGATAACAACGAAACGGTGGTGCGATAACGGTGAAGCGATGATGCGATGACGATGATGCTAAAATGGCACGATAATGCGATGATGATGGTGCGATAGCACGATTGAGCAATAGCAAATATCACTTCATCGTCATCGCACCATCGTGTCATCACTATCGCACCATCGCATCATTGCACCATCACGTCATCGCATTATCGCACCATCGTCATCACATTGTCGCGCTATAGCATCATTGTCATCGCACTATCGCACCATCACTTGATCATTATCGCTTCATCGTCATCGCATTATCTCTTCATCGCACTATCGACCTAAACCTTGATGGTGCGATGATGCGATAGTGAACTGCGTGGTCCTATCCGGATTCCATAGAAACCAGATTAGAAATCAGAAAGTTATTAAAATTTTGTATATTTTTCATACATTATGAAGATATACAAAACAGATATTTGGGGAACGTATCGTCTGACCTTAATTGTATCAAAATATCTCAGCATATCTCTGAAAGCTCAAATCAAATAAACAAGGCTATATATACATATGATACATGTATAGAAATATTATGATTATGTTAGAACAGAACACCATATATATTTTATTTCTATTTTTAATCAGAAACAAACAAAAACAAAATAAAGAAATGAAAGAAAAATTACAAAAAAAAAAATCTAAAACATGCTTGAAATCAGAGATAGTTATAATTTTAAACAAGAGGCCCATGGGCCAAATCGCTCACCTGAGCATTGTGGCTAGGAAATTGGTTTATTATCAAAAAGTTTAAATCCAAAAGTGTTCCCATGACCAATCATGGCTTTGCTATTCTTGAGAAGATGATTTTTAAAGAATTTTCTTATATATGTCTATGTAAAACTTTGATCTGCCATTTTGGCCCCGCCTTATGATTTTTGAACAAAAATCTACACTACCTGAGGATGCTTCCATAAATATGATCAATCATGGCTTTGCTATTCTTGAGAAGAAGATTTTTAAAGAATTTTCCTATCTATTTCTATGTAAAACTTTGATCGGCCATTGTGGCCCCGCCCTACCCCCAGGGGTCATGATTTGAACAAATTTGAATCTACACTACCTGAGGATGCTTCCATATAAATATGATCAATTATGGCTTTGCTATTCTGGAGAAGAAGATTTTTGTTAAAAGAATGTTCAAATATATTTCTATGTAAAACTTTGATCAGCCATTTTGGCCCCGCCCTACCCCCGGAGGTCATGATTTGAACAAAGTTGAATCCACTACCTGAGGATGCTTCCATATAAATATGATCAATTATGGCTTTGCTATTCTGGAGAAGAAGATTTTTAAAGAATTTTCCTATGTATTTCTATGTAAAACTTTGATCGGCCATTGTGGCCCCGCCCTATCCCCGGGGGTCATGATTTGAACAAAGTTGAATCCACTACCTGAGGATGCTTCCATATAAATATGATCAATTATGGCTTTGCTATTCTGGAGAAGAAGATTTTTGTTAAAAGAATGTTCATATATATTTCTATGTAAAACTTTGATCAGCCATTTTGGCCCCGCCCTACCCCCGGAGGTCATGATTTGAACAAACTTGAATCTACACTACCTGAGGATGCTTTCATCAAATATGATAAATTATGGCTTTGCTATTCCGGAGATTTTTAAGGAATTTTCCTATGTATTTCTATGTAAATCCATCAAATATGATAAATGATGGCTTTGCTATTCCGGAGATTTTTAAAGAATTTTCCTATGTATTTCTACGTAAAATTTTGATCAGCGATTTTGACCACGCCCTACACCCGGGGGTCATGATTTGAACAAACTTGAATCTACACTACCTGAGGATGTTTACCCATAAGTTTCATCTTTCCTGACACAGTGGTTCTTGAGAAGATTTTTAAAACATGCCAACAAATTTTCACTAATTCCCAATTATCTCCCATTGAATGAGGGCTTGGCCCTTCATTTGAACAAACTTGAATCCCCTTCACGCAAGGATGCTTCCTGGCAAGTTTGGTTGAAATTGGCCCAGTGGTTCTTGAGAAGATGAAAATGTGAAAAGTTTACGACAACAACAACAATGACAACGACAGATAACGGACAAATTTTGATCAGAAAAGCTCACTTGAGCCTTCGGCTCAGGTGCGCTGAAAATCAGAAGAAATGTCACACACACTCATTCTGCATTGTCACAATTCTCCAAACTAAGTCTGAACTATTGCTTATTTTACAATGTTTGTTCAATAATATACATGTATATGTATAGATACGAGGGACATTCAATAAATAATGTCATCGGTGCTCGGAAAGAAACAGAAAAACGCTTTTCAATGATTTAGTCTTAATGATTAAACTAAAATATTCTCTTTTCATTCAAACACATGTCTGTAACATTTTTATTCAATTTCTAGTTGTTTTTAGAACACATTTTTGAGTATGACCCTTAGTATACTGGAATATGGCAGATCCTATGATTTCCTGAAAGGTGTTTTTTTCAAGTTTGGGAAATGAAACAAGTCAAATGTTGAAAGTGCTGACCAATGTTGTTGGTGTGACAAAACATTAACTTTCTGTTTATCCCTGGAACCCATTTACTCTTCATGGCCTGTGGGTTTGGACTCTGTCATGAAGAAATTTCATGTAGTGGATTCCTCATTCTGGCTCCTTCCTCTCATAAACCTTTCACTTTTTTGCAAAAATTTTGCTTTTTAGACTCTTCCAGAAATTGAAATTATTCCCCCAATAAGAATTGAATTAACAAGACCACTAATATTTAAGGAAATAGCATATAAAACTGTTTTTGTGCTTTTACTATTCTTTGCTCTTTTCAGGCTTTTGCTGTTTGGTCAAGTGTATCTCATTGTAAATTTGTTTTAAGGGTTTAAAGCAAAATGGATTCAAGTTTTATTATCTGTTTGAATTTCAGACAAACACGGATAAGTACAATTTTTTATTTTTTTTAAATAATTGGCAAGATATTCCTACACCCTGTCGTTTTCACTCATTTTTCAAAATATTGGGTGACCTTTGAGTATTAAAATTTTTTACTATCAAATGTTTCTTTAAAACAGTGTGAACTACCCCCAAAATGGTGTCTATCAAATTTGCTATGTGTCTTAAAGTCAATCAAACATACTCAGTGATAATTTATTGAATTTTTCGCAAATGTACATCAGTTGTTGTATGTCCTTGTCGCCAAGGACTGTACCCATTTTTGTTCATTGAATTGCAAATGCTCATGTGTGTATAAAACAGACATTGGTTGCTGTAAATTTCACATATTTCAGTTAATATAACTTTGGGATTCTGAACAAATTTTACAGCAGCTTTTATGGAGCGTTTAATTTCACTCTAGTTTACCGATTTTTGACTATTCATTTTAAATGCAGTGTCTCGACTAGCCCTTGTTTTCCAGCTTCTCACAATGGAACTGTGTGATGAAAAGTGGTCACATAAACTGTGCTGAACTCATTAAAGATTCAATAATTAGGGAAAGTCAAGCTTAATGGCATATGATTTCTATGTTGTATGTCATCGAGCTGATGACATTATTCATTGAACGTCACTCATAATTTCAAAGGACAGAAGGGCTATTTAAGAAATATATTTGGTACATTTCACAGTACTCAGCACCCATTTAATCAAAACTGTTAAAGAGACACAGGAAAGGCTGGTTAGCGATATGGTGTTTAAACAACAATTACCATCTCAACCATTTCAATTGGAGGAACCTTAATCATGTGTAAATTATCTTCAAATCAGCTTAAATAGACAGGTGAAAATGCTTACATTTCTTATATTTCCTTTTGTGTTTTTTAATGTATTGGGAAATTGTGTTCATATTTATACAAATATTAATTTTCCCTGATTTACTAATGCAGGCTATTACTTTGCACATTTTATTCTGTAATTTATACATTCCTGATCAATGTCAATGGTGAAAATGATATTTAGAGGGTTCATTTCTCTTTTTATAATTTTTTTAATTTTTTTTATTTTTTTGGTTTGTTTTTATATGAAAAAGAACAAGAGGCCCATGGGCCACATCGCTCACCTGAGAACCTTTGACCATTCTGTTCTTTACCAGATTTCACCCTTGTTATACATAATGCATCCCCACCCTACCCCACTGATCATAATTTAGACATTTTGAAATCTACACCATGATCCTTCCATGGGCACATATGTTTCAACTTTATTGGCCCAGTGGTTCCTGAGAAGAAGATTTTCAAAGATTTTTCCAATATATTTCTATGTAAAAATTTGATTCCCTATAATGGCCCCGCCCTTCCCCCGGGGGTCATGATTCCTACAATTTAGAATTTACACTACCCCAGAATGCTTCCACATAAGCTTCACTTTTTCTGGCCCAGTGGTTCTTGAGAAGAAAATTTTCAAAGATTTTCCTATATATTTCTATATAAAATTTTGATTCCCCATTGTGGCCCCGCCCTTCCCCTGGGTGTCATTATTTGAACAATTTAGAATCTACACTATACCAGGATGCTTCCACATAAGTTTCAGCTTTTCTGGCCCAGTGGTTCTTGAGAAGAAGATTTTCAAAGATTTTTCCTATATATTTCTATGTAAAAATTTGATACCCCATTCTGACCCCGCCCATCCCCTGGGGGTCATTATTTGAACAATTTAGAATCTACACTATACCAAGATGCTTCCACATAAGTTTCAGCTTTCCTGGCGCAGTGGTTCTTGAGAAGAAGATTTGCAAAGATTTTTCCTATATATTTCTATATAAAACTTTGATTCCACATTGTGGCCCCACCCTTCCCCTTGGGGTCATGATTTGAACAATTTAGAATCTACATTATACCAGGATGCTTCCACATAAGTTTCAGCTTTACTGGCCCAGTGGTTCTTGAGAAGAAGATTTTCAAAGATTTTTCCTATATATTTCTATGTAAAACTTTGATTCCCCATTGTGGCCCCGCCCATCCCCCGGGGGTCATGATTTGAACAATTTAGAATCTGCACTATACCAGGATGCTTCCATAAAATTTTCAGCTTTTCTGGCCTAGTGGTTCTTGAGAAGAAGATTTTCAAAGATTTTTCCTACATATTTCTATATAAAACTTTGATTCCCAATTGTGGCCCCACCCTTCCCCCAGGGGTCATGATTTGAACAATTTAGAATCTACACTACCCCAGGATGCTTCCACATAAGTTTCAGCTTTTCTGGCCCAGTGGTTCTTGAGAAGAAGATTTTCAAAGATTTTTCCTATATATTTCTATGTAAAACTTTGATTCCCCATTGTGGCCCCGCCCATCCCCCGGGGGTCATGATTTGAACAATTTAGAATCTGCACTATACCAGGATGCTTCCATAAAATTTTCAGCTTTTCTGGCCTAGTGGTTCTTGAGAAGAAGATTTTCAAAGATTTTTCCTATGTATTTCTATATAAAACTTTGATTCCCCATTGTGGCCACGCCCTTCCCCCGGGGGTCATGATTTGAACAATTTAGAATCTACACTACCCCAGAATGCTTCCACATAAGTTTCAGCTTCACTGGCCCAGTGCTTCTTGAGAAGAAGATTTTTTAATGACCCCACCCTATTTTTGTCTTTTCTTGATTATCTCCCCTTGCGAGGGGATATGTCCCTTCATTTTAACAATTTACATTCCCCTTTACCCAAGGATGCTTTGTACCAAGTTTGGTCAAAATTGGCCCAGTGGTTCTTGAGAAGAAGTCGAAAATGTGAAAAGTTTACACACGGACAGACAGACAGACGGACAGACGGACAGACGGACGGACGGACGACGGACAAAATGTGATCAGAAAAGCTCACTTGAGCCTTCGGCTCAGGTGAGCTAAAAAGTGAAAAAATTAAAAGTTGACACTTGCCTAAAATGCCTTAATAGTAGCTACACCCTAAAAATACTGTGAACATATATTTATAATTAAAAAATATGTGAAAAAGGGAATAGCTCAATTTTCTTTAATACTGTAAAATCATATATTTTCGTGGGGTCAAATTTTCGTGGTTTGAGCAAAAAATGTTGGTTCGTTGGGATTTGATTTTGTGGATAAAGATCTTTTTAGCAGTTGCGCATATCAAAATTTACATATAGTGGTGGGCATAAATTCGTGGGTCTGTTTATACCTCGAAAACAACGAAAATTAAACCCCCACAAAAAATAGTTATTTCACAGTATAGAAATTTGAGTTATTTCCCTTTCAAAATGTCCATAAAATTATTGATCAGTTATGAATGTGATCAATGCAAATGTTTGACCTGACCCAGAGGTGCCTGCAACACTATAGCTGATTTTTTTTTTTGGCTGAAATACCCACTTTTAGAAATACACTTAAAAGTACCTGACTACAAAGTTAATAAGGGTTAATACTTACACACTCTTTGTTTCTTTTTCCTCAGGTTTGATTTTACCAAGAAGGGCATAATACACAGCCTTTAACAAAATGAAGATTGTTCATGTCACGTAGTTATATTTCCACATTGTTTTCATTAACAATTACAGGTGACTCTCGATCTCTCGAAGTTCAAGGGACCGCAAGAAAAGTTCGAGAGATCGAGGGGTTTGAGAGATAGAAAGTAAAAAAAATCCGGAATTTTCAGTTCCGATCACCGAAGTTCTACTTTAATAGATACCGGAAGTATATGTAAATAAAGTCATTGCACGCTTTCAATCGTATTTGACAGGTAGTTTACGTGATATAAACAACAATGATTGCATTTCGAATAAATAAAACTAATTTCTAAAGTTTTAGTATTTATTTATTGTTATTTCATGATTACGTGAAACCCGAATAGCAATTGTCGGTTTGGCTATTCCGTGGCACCTTCACCAATGTTCAACAGATTTTTCTTAATCTGTATTCAGTCTTTGAGAAAGGAATTTTCTTGTGCAATATTTGCCATGCTGGAATTATTTAGACTCTATTTAATCATAATAAAAGTTCATAGTCTATCGGAACTTACTGAAACGAACATCTATAAATTAAATTTCTAAAAATTATCGTCTCAGTTTCAATTCGAAATAAGTTGTTTATAATCTACCCTGTAATTAATAACCAACTAATTATATAAAAACACGGACAACCCACAGGTGTAGTGTCATCTATGTAAACACCCAATTAACACCTCCATGCCAGCCCATGGCTTTCATTGTTTCCAGCTAAGTCCAGACTGCATCAATTTTACGCTTGATTGGCGTGTATAAACGCGCGCAATCAAAACTTCGAGAGATAGAGAGTAAAATTCAATGAAATATGTGTAACGGGACCCAGATTTTGGTTCAAGAGATAGAGAATTTCGAGAGAGAGAAGTTCGAGAGATCAGGAGTAAATTTGCTTAATTATATAGAGGAAAAAAACGGGACCGGAGGTCGAGAGATAGAGAACTTCGAGAGATCGGAGTTCGAGCCATCGAGAGTCAACTGTACATTGCAATCTTATGAAATTGACAGAACTTATTAAACTCAATGCTAACTGTTGTGTATCTGAGCTAGTTAATTGTGCTAAGTTTGGATGAAGCAAAAATGACACAAAATATCAATTCTGTGTACCTGCCATTTGGGTGGATATTTGGGTACATATTACAATATTTATTTGTTCATTATCAAACTTACACAGACATTTTGTTTATCTACATTCACATTACTCATAAATGTGACTGTTTATCAATGATTATGATATTCTTTACCCTTTACAGGGTTTTCAATTGTGTTTCTTAATATATCTTGTATTTAACATTTAGATCAGAGGAAAGAGAGAAAAGTCCTTTCACAATTAAAGCATTGAAAGTTTAATTTGTATTACTTCTGCTGGTAGAAAAGATCAAAGCCCCATCTCCCTCATTCACAAATAATTTTTTTTGATACCATCATTTGGCTATGCTACAACAAAAAGTGGATGTGGTTGGAGGAGCCATTCAATGAAAATTTTCAATGATGAAATCAAGTTTGGGAGGAAGGGGGTGGGGAGGGGGCTGTTTGATCCAGAAAGAGAAGACAGACCTTCTGATACTGGGAATACTTGACTGGATCCTTCTCAAATATTTCATAAGTCTGGGACTCTAAGTTGTCCATCAGTGGCTGTCAAGGAAAAAATAAACAAAATAAGCAAAAAATTATAACAAATCTAAAGGCTTCTATCAGTGCAGTGTAAAGGATCATTTTGTTTTACCTGTAGTGGACTTTGAAGGTAATCCTCGTATCCCTTGGCAAACTGGGTTATGGGGTCAGGTGGGGACCGCGTCTATCAAATCAAAGTTTACAAACTTCACTAATAATCCAAAAACTGTCAATGATTACTAAATATCTTTTAACACATGCTAGATGAGTGAATTTTGAGCAATATGATAGATACATGCATATATATGTATATATATATATATCATTTCCATCATCCTGAGGAATACTGCTCTAGCATCCTCCCTGACCACCATCAGTAACAGCTAACTTCAACACAATAATTACATGATATAGGCAAATCCCACTACATGACATGGGCAAATCCCACTACATGACATGGGCAAAATCCCACATGACATGGATAAATCCCATTACATGACATTGGTTAAATCCCATTACATGACATGGGCAAATCCCAATACATGTCATGGGCAAATCCCATTATATGACATAGACAAATCCCACTACATGACATGGGTAAATCCCATTACATGACATGGACAAATCCCATTACATGACATAGACAAATCCCACTACATGACATGGGCAAATCCCAATACATGACATGGGCAAATCCCAATACATGACATGGGCAAATCCCAATACATGACATGGGCAAATCCCAATACATGACATGGGCAAATCCACTACATGACATGGGCAAATCCCACTACATGACATGGGCAAATCCCACTACATGACATGGGCAAATCCCACTTCATGACATGGGCAAATCCCACTACATGACATGGGTAAAATCCCACTACATGACATGGGCAAATCCCACTACATGACATGGGCAAATCCCACTACATGACATGGGCAAATCCCACTATATGACATGGGCAAATCCCACTATATGACATGGGCAAATCCCAATAATGACATAGGCAAATCCCAATACATGACATAGGCAAATCCCAATACATGACATGGGCAAATCTTACTTTATTGCATGGGATGGCATAATAGATATACTCTTACTGATTAATGGTGCAAGGCATAATAGATATACTCTTACTGATTAACAAAGATCCTGTTTATAAATGTGGGAATATTGATTGGTGTATCAGCAATTTTGTAAATGGCAATACCTGTTACCTGCCAAAGGTGAATGAAAAACTGTTGTATGTTTCAGTGTTTAATATCTGCAACAGGTGACTAAGGTACTGTTGTTTATTACAAAATTTGTTACTAGCCACATGTTATTTAGGAACTGTATATTATCAGACATGATTCTAAAGTTGATGGAAAAAAACCTGAGTTAAAAACGAAAGTTTTACCTGCCACAGGTGATCTAGGTACTGTTGGTAGGTGTGGAGACCTTTGTCCGGGTGTCTGTCTGCTCCACTCAAAATGATCTGAATTTCCAGCTACACATACAAAAGAAAAACATAAGTTACAAGGAATATTTTCAAACTTTAATCAAACTTCACTTTTTAAAAATACTAATGCAAAGAAATGCATGTGAAAAAATAAAATTTCTTGTAGCATTCCTTAAGAATTTCAAAATTAAAACATAATTACACACCTGTGTTTTTACCATACCTTAAATAATTTTTTAAGGAAGTTTTGATGTGGTTTTGATAACACAGGATATCCTCTCTTATTGGTCAGGAACAGACTGGTGGATACAACAGCACATTTGATTGGTTCAGCCAACCATCTTTCTAGGACCTCTTCTGACGGCAGATTGGCTGAAACCTCCAGCACAACACTGATTCTTCTGTGAGAGTCGCACAGAGTCCTGAACTCATGCCACCTGCAAGGTTCATGGAAACTCTCACATCAAAAATTCTTAGCAGTATTCTAGATCAACCATTTATGCTGCTAATGCAAAGCTAAAATTTTACTCTTTTGTGAAAGTTGTATTCAATAATTAATCTTCAGTGTGGATTCATCTTTACTTTTTCTATTCCATTTTCTCCTTACTACACTGCATTTCTTTCTTGCTATTTCCTCTTTACCATTTCTATACAATTTCCTCTTTACCATTTCCATACCATTTCTTCTTTACTATTTCTAAAACATTTCCTTTTTTCCATTTCTGTACCACTTCCTCTTTACCATATTAATACAATTTCCTTTCTACCATTTCTATACCATTTCCCCTTTACCATATCTATACCATTTCCACCTTAAAAAGTCTTTCATTTACTCTTTGTTATTTTTACTCTCCTCCTTGTAAACATATCTTTCCTATTTCCTCCTGACCATGTCTTTCTCCCCATTTCTATTCCATTTCCTCTTTACCGTCTCATTCCTCCTTACCATTTCCAGGTGTTGTCCTGTGGTTCTCTTTCCTCCTCCTCTAACTGTCCCTCTATCAGATTCTCTGCCTGATCCCGAGCTGACACTAGTGGGATCTGTATCCAGTATTGCTAAAAACAAAAAGGAACTCTGATTTAAAATGAATGTTTATACATTTTTCAGTGTAATGGAAAGGGAGGAAATACAATGTACTCAATTTTTTAATTTAATGCAATCTTCTCAATACAGGTGCTCTACCTACTGGGCCATCTGGTCACATTAAAGCAACTTACTCATGTACCTGACAAAACATGACCATTCTCAACTATACTTTATGGATCAAATGAGAAAGCAGCAAGTCAAACATGATTATTGCATCCATTGATGGATGTTACTTGTACCTGCTGGAAATAAGCAGCTTGAAGTTGTTCACTCAAGCACCGCGCCAGGTTAGCATTCCTACCGTGCTTCAGTTGGATCAGTATGGCTGGGAGTCCAAGATGGCTGGCGAAGGCAAGCTCCTGCTTAAATCCCTGAATTTACAAAAAAAATTCTGTACAACTCAACTGTGCCAGTATCCATATGTAGCATTTAGTGCAAATCAAAATATGAGATAAAAAAAGAGTTTCACAGTAATTATGCATGAATTAATTATGTTTATTAACAACTAAGGTAACAGTAATTAGAAATACGAAAAATGTGTTATGTCTTGTGGCATGCAGTGATAATAAAATTCGAAAGAAAAACAGTCTTTCAAATCGTGTGCCCAGTGTTTATTTCTATCTTCATTATAAATAGCAGTTCTTACAGCTTCTGAGTTCTTGCGGATGACTTCCACTCTGGAGTCAAGCTGTAACCATGGTGATGTTTTCCCAACAATCAATGTACTCCAGTCTAAGAAATAATTAAGAAATAGGCTGTAATGTTTACTCAGTGAGGTTTTTGCACTAATTTTCCATCTGACAATTATTGTCACATTTTCACTCCTCTTCATCAAATTTTGATGTAGAAGGAACACCTATGCATTTAAAGGTAGCTGTTTTAGCTTGGGAGTCAGTTTCTTAAGATAAGGTTTCTGCCTGTACCAATCACATTCATGGATGTGTAAAAAGCAAATCAGGGTATTAAGGAATTTCATAATCAGGTTTGGCCATTATCATTAGAAAACAAAGTTTTGACACTAACTTACTGTCCGTGTGGCATTGTCTGTTTTATTTAAATTTCATATATACAGTAAAACTCGGTTATAGCGAAGTCCCGGGGACCTGTGAATTTAATTCGCTATATCCGTAATTCGTTATATCCGTATAACGAATTCGTATAACCATATATAGCGAATTCGCAATATGCATGTTTTCCTTTCAGTATTAAGTACCATATATGTTTGGGAAGCAAATATTTCAAAACATACATTCGATAACTAAGGTTTTATTATGAATTGAATTTTATATACAAATGCTAAAAGAAGATAAAGTCAGTTCAATTTATCAAAATTTGATATCTTTGAAAGTCCGTTATAAAAGATGTTAATTTCATTATATTTAACCTCAACGGGAATTAAAATCAGTTCCCTCTATCCGTAAAATCATTACATCAGAGTTCGTTATGACCGTTAAATTTTACAAAGACAAGAATTTTGACAGAAAAACTTCGCTATATCCGTGTGGCTATATCCCTGTTTTATTGAAATTTCATATATAAATACCCTTGACAAATAATGAAAGTTCAAAATTTTAAGTTTTAAGTTAAAAATTGTATTAAAACATAGGTAATAAGAGATAACAGAGTTCACCTCAATGAATGTTGTCTTAAATGAGGCAAATACCCACTCTTAACTGACAATGTTGCATAGTGTACATACCAAGATGCAACATTTATGATTTTTTATCTGATGGGCTTAGAAGTTACTTAAAGGTCAAATATCAAGGAAATAGATATACTTGTATATAATATATGTTGTAAACAATGGTTAAAAAGAAGGAATTACAATATTCATTTAATTTTAAACATCGTTGTTTTCTTTATTTACCTGTTCAAATATCACTAAAAATAACGTTCATCAATAGAGTTACTTCCCCTTTTTGTGACGTCATTAGAGACACTCGACAAAATCTAGTTACATAAGTATAGTAAAAAGTGCTCTCGATTATCTAAAATTATGGCAAATTTTGGGGAACAGAAATGTCTATATATCAGAGTTATGCGTAGATCTGTATATCTGAGTCAAGAAAGTACGCAAATTGATTATTCTTCTTCGACCGATTCTGTTTCGTCCGAAGCCGGTAAGGGTGAAAGTGGAAATTTTGATAAATAACACAACTGACAAGGGATCATCGCAGAAGCTAACGAATGTACATACATGTACCGGTAATTTGTATTTAATGCCTTTTACTGAGTGTGCTCAGTATTTCCGCAAAAATATTTAACTGCGGAAAATTGATTTTATGTGTTGTTTCTTATTCATCATATAGGACCAGGACTTTTACATAGTGAAAAAGTATAGAATTCTTTTTTTTTTTACATTGCATAGCCGTTTGAACCGGGTACACAGCGATTTTTTTTATGTTAAGTATACTATAATGAACAATGAACGGAACAACAGAATTAAATTGCGTCATTGTCGGATATATATATCATGAGTGCATGGGAATCCGAAGATGTAGCTATCACAGGTGCTTGGAACTACCCCCCCCCCCCCTCGGTTGTTCCGTACCCCAGTGGGTTTTTTTATACTTTAAAATAATATTTTTCTATGATATATTCAATAGTATTACAACTGAAAAATCCCAAATTTAAGGGGAAAGAAGGCTAGTTTAAGCCTTTTATAAATTCATACCCTCTGATGCTAAAACAGAGCGTTCTGTTTTAGTATCAGAGGGTATGAATTTTCCCCGTCCCTAAGCACCTGTGGTAACTAAACATTTGTCTCGAACCTTTTTAATTTATGCGTAACAAGTAATTTTTATTTGCCCCCCCTCCCTCCCGAAGTAACATTTCTTTGTTGTCTGCCTCAACGGATATTAATTGCTTCATACAGGCCTGAAAATCTTTGTCACATAGCGCTTTCATTCTAAAAATATTTTAATATGAATTATTTCACCCTAATTTAGTTTAGAAAAAAGAAACAAAAATATTTTAAGAATGTATATTCTGATTTCATATGCTCTTGTGGTAACTATGTCAAGACGCCAGCACAAGAGAAAATAAGTGCTGGAGGAAAACAAAACTGCGGGCAGAAAATTGATGAACAATCACTGGCGTGCATGAACACTGAGGTTTTATTGCTTGAATAAATATGTAATGATAACAATTTTAATATAAAATTTTTCTAGAAAAGGGACAACTGGAAGTGAATGAACGCATTCTTGAGTAAGTATTTTCTGAGACAGATATCATGCGCGGATTTAGAGGGGGGATTTCCCGGACATACCCCATCCCAACTGAGATTTTTTTTAGACACGATAACTTGGCAGATAATCAATTCCTTGTCTATTATACCACACCTTCCGTGTTTTGTCAGTCAAGTTTTTGAGATTGTTCCTTCACAGTATATGAAAATTGCTAGTGTTTTTTTTTACTCCAGCATGTTAGAGGTTTCCGCAGAAATACATGTACTTTTGACTTGGCGCCGCGTAATGTTCAGTCATGTATATATACCGATTGCATGCTCTAATGTAAAGGGCCAATCTCTAAAACTTGACAAAAGCGGAAAATATAAAATATCGAAGTATTGGTACAACGGACAAGGAATTCATGTATATTTTGCTTAGTTTTATTTTCAGTAGGGGGGAAGGGGCAAAGCACAGGAACCAATCGTCAGGTACTTGTGATCTTGTTGAGTACTGTAACAATTTTAAAAGAATAAAAAAAAACTTTCCCTCAAAACAGTATTGCGGCTATAAATACCTAAACTGACAAATTGAAAAATGCAATTTAAATTTGAAATAAAACCAAGATATTCGTGAGATAATTTTATAATTAATTAAAATGTAGCCTAAACTGGTCTATGTAAAATGTCGCTTATGAATATTTATAGTGTTTCGTGTTTATTGGGCTCAAAACCATCTCTTTTTAAATTAAATGTCCATATTTCCCTCAATTCAGGTGCGTAAGAATTTAAATATATACTCCTGTCTTGTTCCGATTTATTGGTACAGTTAAAAGCCCACATGGCAACATCTCGCAAACAATAATGTTCCAAACACGGCAATATGGCATGCACTTCCTATGTCTCTGATGACGTCATGCAACAAGGGAGATAAGCGATTTACAATAAATGATCCACTTGTCACACAAGTAAGTTTAAACGATTATTAGTGATGAAATTGGTGACAAAAAAATAAATAGACCTCAGAATGTCATTCATATTGCTCCAGAGGCTGACAATAATGAATAATTATGTATTTTCACATAAATATTATACTTGACCTTTAAAATTAGACTTATCCAAAAACTAATCCAGAAAATTCAAATCAAGTTTTGTTTACATGGTCCTTACTAGTTTCTTGGTAAAGGACCTGCACCAAAGTAAGCCTGCATGGTATTTTAGATCACTTTATTTTGGCGACACCTTATTTTTGCAGTTACATGTATTTTCAAGTCGTAGTTCATGTAAAGATGTACCTCAATGATTTTCAGAATTCAAATTCATATGTTATATTTACATTATTTTACTTTATTGTATTGTAATTTAGGCAGTCGTCTTCGTCCACCAAATTGTCCCTCGTTGTTTTCGGACCCCTGTCTTCTACCATGTAGTCCAACGATGACATCCACTCGGCATACACACAGGATAGAGACAAACATCCAGGACAGAAATAGTGTCGATCGCGAGCGTTGACACCACATCATCGACTCCATCATGAATGCTCTGTCCTAGAACAGATAAGATCTGCAACATCTTCTAAAGCATAAACTGTGTGGCCAATAAGCAGGTAAGTGATTAATCCCTCCAGGACCTGGGACTCCCCGAACATAAATAACTTGACTACATAAATCCCCGCAACTGGGGTCCAAAGAATACCCTTAAGTTTTGATAGACTCATCCCGCAAGAAGGGTGACGTCCACTTCCCCAACGGCGGCCACATGTTGATAGATATCCTCGATGTGCCGTAGGCCCATCACGTATCAACTCATCCCGCAAGAAGGGTGATGTCCCCTTTCCCTACTGCGGCCACCTGTTGATAGATCTTCCCGATTTGCCGAGGGTCCATCACGTATCAACTCATCCCGCAAGAAGGGTGATGCCCCCTTCCCCAACTGCGGCCACATGTTGATAGATATCCTCGATGTGCCGTAGGCCCATCACGTATCAACTCATCCCGCAAGAAGGGTGATGTCCCCTTCCCCAACTGCGGCCACCTGTTGATAGATCTCCCCAATTTGCCGAGGGTCCATCACATATCAACTCATCCCACAAGAAGGGTGATGTCCCCTTCCCCAACTGCGGCCACATGTTGATAGATATCCTCGATGTGCCGTAGGCCCATTACGTATCAACTCATCCCGCAAGAAGGTTGATGTCCCCTTCCCCTACTGCGGCCACCTGTTGATAGATCTCCCCGATTTGCCGAGGGTCCATCACATATCAACTCATCCCACAAGAATGGTGATGCCCCCTTCCCCAACTGCGGCCACATGTTGATAGATATCCTCGATGTGCCGTAGGCCCATTACGTATCAACTCATCCCGCAAGAAGGGTGATGTCCCCTTCCCCTACTGCGGCCACCTGTTGATAGATCTCGCCGAATTCATCCCGCAAGAAGGGTGATGTCTTCTTCCCTAGCTGCGGCCACCTGTTGATAGATCTCCCCGATGTGCCGTAGGCCCATCAGGAGTCAGCTCCGCACAGTTGGTCGGGACTCTCCGACTCAACCTGCAGTTGGTCAACTTGAATGGTAGGCATGCCAGATGCACTTCCGACATTCCCTAGACCTAAGGCCTAGAAAAAAAATATGTTTGTTTCCGCTTTCAGGCTGAAAAAATATAGGGTAGGTAGGTGGGCAATTTTTTTTTTTTTGAAAAAAATTTTTTTGCTTCTTTAATCGAAACGTGTATAGAAGTAACATTAATGACAAAAGAAATGGTGTTTTCAAGCATTACTGTGACTTAACTTATAAAGGTGACCCAAACTTCTTTCTATCTTGAAAAGCTTGCAAAGTTGGAGGCTATAATTCCCTGGTTGAAACCTGGCACATCATGGGACAAAAGCATTAAAAAAATATTTAGGGTCGGCACTATAAATTAGGGTCGGTCGGGAAAGCAGAGAACATATTTTTTTCTAGGCCTAATATAGCGTGATCCATGCCCATCCGCACCTGCGGGAATTAAATGTAACCTACCCTGTCGGACAACAGACCTGCCCTCCTGATTCCCTAGGGTAACTAGGGTCACTGTATCAGTACTCTAAAACCCGAGAAACTATCCTCGGTCTCTGTCCTACACCACATTTAGACTATTTCTGCACAGGAGGGCTTGATCCCCTGAGACACCCTCCTGACAGAGAGTATCTGAGATGCCTGTAACTCAGCCTCTCCCTCTATTTTCTGAATTTCCAGAGTTGTTCTCTGTTGGAGCTAATGCTTCAGACACAGCTCTGGAAATTCTTTTGAAGAGCATGCACATCTCTGTCTATCTCATCCTCCTTAATATTTCGAAAAGAACCTGAACATTGAGGGGGCTGGTAAATATGGGTTTGAAAAGCAGTTATATTTTTACAGAGAGATCATTATAATAAGTCTAAACAAACTACATTTTCAAACCTTGGCCAGATAAAGCGAGATCAGATCTAGTAAGTGGACCAGGGCGATTCTTAGCTGGTCCATGAATAAATTCACGTTTGTATCTTGGATTCACGATGGGCAAGCAAACAAAATCAAACCTGAAAAAAAACGAAATAAAATCATGGTCAAGTATGTTGTATTAAACATTTTCATTGTTTTGGGGGGATTCTTTCTGGGAAAACTCTACGTATATAACTTCTCTTTCACACAACATTTTACATTTACCAAGCTATGGTCAGTATCATAACATAAGTATGGGCATTCAACCCATCCATCTTTCCAAGAAATACAATGAATTGAATTTTTTTGCAGTGATGGACTGTAAGAAGCCTTGAGTTATACGCCTACCCTGATTTACATGCAGTCTCTACTGCTGTGTTAATGTCGGGACAGCAGTGAAAATCACGACCACAAGACGCACGTGCCATATCCTTCCCTGGCATATTTCGAGGAAGTTCGGATGGAGAATTGTGAATATCGAACCCGAATTTAAATGGAACAAAAGGGGGTGGTAATCCAGGGGCCGGGGCAAGAGTAAGGAAAGGTTTTGTTTAAACTCTGAAGTGTAGAAAATTAGAAAATGAAAAGTGAAAAGAACTTTGGAGCTTTAATTTGCCATCACTTGGGCTTAATGGGTATTATATATATATACTTTTACATATTTTACATTACTATATTGGAAGAAGAAGAAGATACTTCGTGTTTTCTTTTTAATTATTTTTACTATACAACTATACCGACCACTGTGAATTCATGGACTTCTGATATATACAGTCGTGTGCCAAAAGTGAAGATTATTTTATTTTTTCTCTATATATTTCATTGAAAACAACAGTTTTTAAAATATCTGGTATGACAACATTTCTTGACAAATTTTATCCCGAATTTCTTGATAATCCCAAAAAAATGTTGTAGTTGCGAAAAACAATAGTTTTCATCTGATCAGTATTGGTATTTTAAAAATATTGAAATTTAAAGGTGACATGAATTTTTAAGTCACATACTCACAATGAATTATATAGTCAACATTGATCTTGAATTTTAGAACTGATTTTAAGTGATGAACTATCTTTTTAGTAAAAACTAAATATGTAATGATCTTTTAACGAAAGATAACTACACATTTTCTGTTTTAAGCACTGAAATAAATAATGAAATTGGACAAAAATTGACCATTTGTCAATGATTTTAAAAAATGTTGTTTTCAATGAAATATATAGAGAAAAAAGAAAATTATCTTCACTTTTGGCACACAACTATATATATATATGTAGTTATTTAAAGCCATATATGGCGTATGTACAATGAAAATTATTAGACTAAAATTATAAGAACTTATTATTTGTATCATTACTTATATAAAGATAGAACTTTTCCGTAAATTACAAAATCTAAGTCAATTGCGTTATAAAGATATCACAATTTAATTTGGAAAATGACTCGGAAGAAAAAAAAAGATTTAAATAAAACATTACAGAGAAGATAAAATCGTATTATTAGATGAAACGAGGTGTTTTCCGTGCTCCGAATTTTATGAAAAGCTTTAATTTAAATGTATTAACTATATTTCTACTTAATTTTGCACATACGCCATATATGGCACACATTATATATACCAGATGTAACAGGAAAGGAATATCACTCGAACAAAATCATAGACCTAAAGTGAATTTAGGTCTATGGAAAAATTAAAAAAACCATTACATACCGTCCAAAACTCCGTAAAAGTTTTTCGAACAAAATCATAGACCTAAAGTGAATTAAGGTCTACGGAAAAATTAAAATTTGATTCTCTATCTAAAGATGTGTGCCAAAATTTATTTTTTTCTCTGTATATTTTATTGAAAACCACATGTAGTTAAATGGCTGGAAATTAGTCAAAATATAGAGAAAAAACTAAAAAAATATATATTCTCTGTAAACTGGGCAGGCAAGTCACATGGGGGGTGGGGGGGGGTCTTGTTCTCTTGCTTTTTTTAAAAAACCCAAATATTACATATCTGTGAAGATTCGGGGGGTATATAGTTTTTACCCTGTACGTCTGACTGTCTGTCTAGCTGTTTGTCTACAAAAAATTACCTTACATTGCCCAGCACATTTGATTGGTTCGAGCTATGGCTTTTGTATTTCACGTGTATTTCAATATGTTATTTGGAAGAACATATTTGACCTCTTGACTTTGGAATTTGACCCTTAAACCTTGGCCATAACTTTTGAAACATTGATGGTACAGCTCCCATACTTTAAATGTATATTTATCGTCACAAGACCAATTTTTTTTTTTTTTTTTAAGGCTTTGAGCCACTTTTAAATAAATTTAGGATTAGGGCCTTCATAAATCATATTTGAATCCTCTTGTGCTTTGCCTGTGACAAGACATTTCAAAATATACTATTTTTGACCTGGTGACCTTGATGTTTGTCCCACTTTTAAAAAATTTAAACATAACTTTGAATTGGCCATAAGAGATATGCCTTTCATATGCATTACCTGTGACAGGATATTTCTAAATATGCCATGATTTTTTACCTCGTGACCTAGTTCCTTCCCTTTCGCAAAAGCGGGAGACAATAAATGAGATGAGACCCGCATTTTTACTACATTTAATTAATTTCCCTTAAAAATGTGAAATTTTTGCACAGGTACTTTAATCAGAAATGCTTGCTACAGCCTTTGACTTAGATAAGCTAAAAAGTCCATGATAAAAAAACCCCTCCTTACGTACAAGTTTTCTGGACTCAAAACAAACCCCAGGCCCAATATTTGATTTAACATCAAAATTATTATTTACAGGACCCAAAAAGGCCGAATTACAGATTTTTTAACAAGCTGTCAAAATGATACTGGTTCAGCATCCTAGTCAGATAAACAGACACAATGAAGCTAATGTGCAAGTACCTACCTCACCAGCTTTGTTTATTTTTACAAATTAAATCTCACAGAACAAAATGGATGTGGACTAAATTTTAATCCCAAAATGTTTGCAATGATTTACATGTTAGACAAATTGAATACAAATTTTAAAAAGAAATATGATTGAGATTACATACATGTATCTGTAAATGAATGTGAGTAAAATCTGTATCTACATGATCACAAAATGCTTTTATTTGGGGTATGACAATAACTTAGAGCACAGCAAATAAACAAGTTGGCAGGGTACAATAATGATTTTAGAATGTGATTATCACCTTCTCGGAACTAATAAGTACAAAGGGTAAATATAGGATGGGATTACAAAATGTTTGAAATGACACATTAATGTAATATATTGATAATTTACACCTGTAAATTCCACCCAACTAATTCCATTACAAGGTTAACTTAAACATGTACATCAGCACAAGTTTACTGACGAAGCTTTAGAAAACTGAAAGACAGAGAGAAGAAAAAGATTGTGATCAACACAATGCAGGAAGGAAAGCTTATGAAAGCTGTGAGGTCATACAATGTAGGATGAGTCCCCACATCTGGGACATTCCATTTCCTTTTATATATAATAGTGAGAAGCTCCCGAGTACCTCAGGGTCATACAATGTAGGCTGTGTTCCCACATCTGGGACATTTTCCTTTTTTTATGTAAAAGTGAGAATAATTGATAGAGATGTGTTTCAACAGAGGCTGAGAATGATTGTTTATAGTTTCTACACCTACACACAGATAAATACCCATATTCCTTACACTGGGATACAATACATGCAGTGCACAGTAAATATTGTAAATGCATGTGTTTAATATCTATTAAAATGTCAGCTAATAAATACTTGACACTCATTCAAAATCACTAAGAAATCCAAGTTTTATGCTAAGAGCAAAAACTGGATCTGTGTTTTTTCTATTGCACTCAGTAAATGTTAATGCATCAAAGAGCTGGCTGTCGGTGATGTTTTGGTCACTCGGTCTTGTTGGCCATTCTGACCGGTCTCAGTGCGTCCGAATGCCACGTCCTGATGTTAGCTAGTGCCCTGTTGATTTTGTTGCACCAGTTTATTCTCTCCTCTTTAGTGTCAGCAGAGACCATGTGCCTGTAACCAATAGTAACAATGAAATAAGTGCATCTTATCTAAAATGATAACTTTGTATACCACACTGGAAATTGGGCAAAAGTTATAATATGTTCATAAGACATGAATGCCATGCTTCGGATTTATAGCAATGGAACATGATCTTGTCACATCATTTTGTCCTGGTAAATTATTTCAAATGCATTATTTTTAATTGCAGGGGGTTTAAAAATGATATTTTGAGAATTTACTTCTTTATCAAAGTTAAGAAAAGAAATTATTTGATTCAAATTCTGATAACAAAATCTCATTCATATTACAACCACTGAAATTTGTGAAAACATCCAGACAGAATTCAGTATTCCAGCTACATATGACCTCAGACACTTCCCAGTTCTCACCTAATGGTTGTCATGGTGTTGTATGTCTTGCTTATCAGAGTGTCTTCTTCCCCCCTCCTGGGTTGACGGACCGTGACTAGTTCAAATGTGTTGGGGCGAGCACAGATGTCTCTGGGAATTAGGCCCACCTTCTCCGTGATGCACCTCTTCAAATCAATTATTCCCATTGGCTCCTTCAAAACAAAAGAAAAGGGAGAACCTTACTTATAAGTGTAGACATGTAGTTTAGTAACCCTTTACAAAAGAGAGGATTAATACATTTAGTTTATTTAAAAAGCTCCTCTATAAAAATATATACCACAACCTAAGCATTTTTATCCAAGATAAAGTCAGATTAGATCTTTTTCAATAAGCAGGACTCAACAATGACTAAAATATGGCAAATGTATAAATTGATCCCTGCTTCATTGACACAGACAGACAAAAGTGATAAGCCCTGTGAACTTGTGAAGCATTCATTGACACAAACGATTAGACAAACATTAATGTGACACAGACCATCAGACAAACATTAATGTGACACAGACTAACCTTCCTGTTCTCCTCATCAGGGTACTTCCAGAAACAGAGTTTGTTCCCCTGAAGTGCACTCCATCTTCTGTGCCAGGCTCCGAAGCCACTGACGTCCTCAAACATTGTCTACATGAAATTATAAAACAAAAATCAGGGAACACTTGTCAATTGTACAGCATACAAAAATACACAGCTTTTGTTGGAAATACAATAAATTCCAGAAAAAAAAGAATAAATTAACTCACCAAGAATCCTCTTTCCTCTACATTTTGTTCCATTAAACATTTCAATCTCATGTAGATTGTGCCATGAAGTGGAGACAAATAGGGAATCTAAAAAGAAGGGATACCTTTATAGATATAGTCTTAGGATTACAAAATTGTCTGTACTGTGTGACTGTGCATACATGTAAACTTGTTTAAACTTTACTACAGAATGACTGTGAGATAAAACTTGGATGAAAGCCTACCCTTTCGAGAGTAAAGCAGGTCTTGTCTAGAGCCCTCATTGTGATGGGGAGGGTGGTGATCAGGGTAAAACTAGTGGTCCTCACTGCCGTGGGGCCACCAGGACTGGGAGCTAAATAATAGTCTACACAATCAGCAACAGATTCTAAACATAGGTAATCAGAGATTACAGAGCTCACCTCAACGAATGTTGTCTTTAAGTAAGGCAAAGTCACACAATTAACCAACAAAAAGTGTACATTCCAAAAATGAAAATATTTAAGCAATTTTGATCTGATACTTTGAATAGACCTACATAAAAAATTTAAACTAGTTCTTCTTCATGAAAATGTAATCAAAATCCAGAATCTGAAGCAAATTTGAGAGTTTTCATCTCTTGATGCAACGTTTGTGCAAGTTTGGTTTATACAATGTTATGTAAGCCTTATAGTTTTTTGGTATTAGACTTGCACCCATAACTTTTACCTGGTCTATTATCTGAAAAATGCATATCGAATTCAGCATCCGAAGCAAGTCCATTAGTTTGCATCCTAAGATTTATAGTCCATGCAAGTTTGCTCATTATAGGGCTCATAGTTAATTGGAAATGAAACATGCATCAAAAACTAACATTTTTACTCATCCACAAAAAGTAGGTCAGATTCAGCATCTGAAGCAAGCCTGGTAGTATGCATCCTTATATGCATTATCCATGCAAGTTTGGTCATTAAAGAATCATAGATACTTGGAAATGAATCATGCATTAACTTTAACCTATTCACTAAACCGGAAAATGTAGGTCAGATTCAGCATCTGAAGCAAGCCTGGTAGTATGCATCCTTAGATGTATCATCCATGCAAGTTTGGTCAATATAGGGCTTATAGTTACTTGGAAATGAAACATGCACCAAAAACTTTAACCTGTTCACTCAACTGGAAAATGTAGGTCAGATTCAGCATCCGAAGCAAGCCCGATAGTATGCATCCTTAGATGTATCATCCATGCAAGTTTGGTCAACATAGGTCTTATAGTTACTTGGAGATGAAACCTGCACCAAAAACTTTAACCTGTTCACTCAACCGGAAAAGTAGGTCAGATTCAGCATCCGAAGCAAGTCCAATAGTATGCATCCTTAGATGTGTCATCCATGCAAGTTTGGTCAACATAGGTCTTATAGTTACTTGGAAATGAAACCTGCACCAAAAACTTTAACCTGTTCACTCAACTGGAAAATGTAGGTCAGATTCAGCATCCGAAGCAAGCCCAATAGTATGCATCCTTAGATGTATCATCCATGTAAGTTTGGTCAACATAGGTCTTATAGTTACTTGGAAATGAAACCTGCACCAAAAACTTTAACCTGTTCACTCAACCGGAAAATGTAGGTCAGATTCAGCATCCGAAGCAAGCCCGATAGTATGCATCCTTAGATGTATCATCCATGCAAGTTTGGTCAACATAGGGCTTATAGTTACTTGGAAATGAAACCTACACCAAAAACTGCACCAAAAATGTTAACCTGCTCCAAAAACATTAACCTGGTCATTCCTTTGCTGAAATTGCAGCATCTGAAACTTTGAATGGTGCAATGAAACACACTAGAACCATCCTCCATGCATGTCTAATCCATATAGGACATAGAAGTAGTTAAAAAGAAAACTGCTCCAAAAAACTTAACCTGGGACGCCAACGCCGACACCGACACCGACGCCGACGCCGAGGGTATTACATAAGCTCCCCCAACTTCGTTGAGGTGAGCTAAAAATGTACATTTTTAATATGGAAAATTTCTTTTTGCTACCAACATTGAGTTTGCTCAATCTTGAATAGGAATATCTGAATTGAGCACTCTGTTAATTTCTCAATACCTGGTGCCAGGTGCCCTTTAGGGGCTTTCTTGGGAGTTTTTCTTTTCTTGTCCTTTATAGCTTCTCTGGATATTGACTGAAATAAAGTTTAAAGAACTAAGATTATTATTTTGGGGGGCTTTTAATGGTAGGACTATTTGCCCTGGAAATCATGTGAAATGTTCTACTTACCATGCTGTATATTTCCAGGTTGAGTTTGAAGTTGCCACAGATGCCATGGATTTTGATCAGGTTGGGGAAGTCCAGGCTGCCTCTCATCATGGGGTCGTGGGTCGATAACATCTGGGTCACGATTACTTGGGCGTGGTTCCGGATCAACAACAGGAAGTAGTGAACTGTGTTATCTACAAACAGAGACTTCAGGCATTCAAACATTCATAAGGGATACATGAATCTACTGAATGTTATTTAAGGAATGAATTAAATAGCAACCCAAATTATACTGTATAACCGGGGTTGGGGCAGTTTACGCTTTATAAACAGCGAAGCTTTATATTCATTTTTTAGTCATTAATGATCAACATAATTTCACGATGGTCTCAAAAATGATCTACCAGTTCAACTTATTCAATTAATATCAGAAAATAAAACATTTCAAGGATTTAAAACAATTTGTTATATCTAGCCAAGAATACAAATAAAAGTAATAATGTATCATTTTTGAACATTTATCCAGATGTAATTATGGGTTGGTACATGATCAAATCTACATGTATCATGGAGCTCTTTGGGCTTTATACCATTTGATGATTTACATGATCAACCAGCATTTACATCCCAATACATGACAGCTGACTGAGATTTTTTATTTACCTGATCCAGTTCCTATCTTGGTAACAAACTCTTTCTTTAGTGGCAGCCTTATATCACTAATGGTCAGAGATCCCCGGGGCCCAGATCCTGGGGGGTCTAAACAACCTGACTCCTTCAATCGCTGAATCTCAGTCAGATAAGCTTGTCTCTTTTGACCTTTAAAAAAAGTTATAGATACTCAATACTTACACTTCAGAGAAAAATAATTTTTTTTAAATCAATTGATATGAAAGTCTATTTTAAAAGAAATAGAGTTGGGTATTGCGAGTGAAAACCATATTGCGATATATTGCAATATTTCATGTTGAATATTGCAATATATTGGGATATATTGCAGATTAATTATCATTAATAAATTTGTGCAGAAAGTTTAAAATGATGTCAAGCTCAAAGACTATTTGAATTTATCTATAAGTTTTAAAGGGGGTGAGGGGATAAAACATTTATTGCACACATAATAAAACTTTACTTTTAATCAAATACCAGGTAAAATAATAAAACAAAATGAACTCTCTTGAAGCATTTTGAAATTGAAACAAGAGGCCCATGGGCCACATCGCTCACCTGAGAAGCTTTGTCCATTCTGTTCTTTACCAATTTTCCCCCTTGAAATTGAAACAAGAGGCCCATGGGCCACATCGCTCACCTGAGAAGCTTTGTCCATTCTGTTCTTTACCAGATTTCCCCCTTGTAATAGATATTGTGACCCCACCCTACCCCACTGATCATAATTTAGACAATTTGAAATCTACACTACCCCAGGATGCTTCCACATAAGTTTCAGCTTTTCAAAGATTTTCCAATATATTTCTATGTAAAACTTTGATTCCCCATTGTAGCCCCGCCCTAACCCCCGGGGGTCATGATTTGTACAATTTAGAATCTACACTACCCCAGGATGCTTCCACATAAGTTTCAGCTTTTCAAAGATTGTCCAATATATTTCTTTGTTATACCCTTATAAATATCAGTCTATATATTTATTACTTATAAAAAGTCGAACAAAAGAACTGTTTATTACATCGGTCTAACAATTTCACTATTGACCGGTCTTACATAAGAATTGTTAGACCGCAACGTCACTCGTCTGTTACGTCACAAGGAAGTAATCATCGTTCAATATCGGCGGCGCGAAAATAGCCGAAGTAAAGAGCTACAAGAGTTGTTGCTAAAAGCAAGGTAAGGAAGAAGGGAAGAGTATGTTTTGTGAAATAAAATTTTTGTGATACAATAGATATGTAATTGATTTTGTTCTTTCTCAGCTTGATGTTTTATATTTACGGAAGAAGCCATAATTTCAAATAAATGAAAAAATAATTGATACTATAGCGTGTATTGATTAAATTGATCAATCTTAAGTAAGCAGTGAAAGGTATAACAAAACAGTTAAATTTGCAACATATGATTTGTTGCACCTGAAGGTGAAAATGTTGCCCTTGGCCTGCGGCCTCGGGCAACATTTTCACCTTCAGGTCCAACAAATCATATGTTGCCCTCATACCCAGTCAATAACTGTATAATGTAAAACTTTTATTCTCCATTGTGGCCCCGCCCTAACACCCCCCCCCCCCCCCCCCCCCGGGTCATGATTTGAACAATTTAGAATCTACACTACCCCAGGATGCTTCCACATAAGCTTCAGCTTTTCTGGCCCAGTGGTTATTAAGAAGAAGATTTTTCCTATATATTTCTATGTAAAACTTTGATTCCCCATTGTGGCCCCGCCCAACCCCCCGGGGGTCATGATTTGTACGATTTAGAATCTACACTACCCCAGGATGCTTCCACATAAGTTAAATGAGCTTTTCTGGCCCAGTGGTTCTTGAGAAAAAGATTTTTAAAGTTTTTTCCTATATATTTCTATGTAAAACTTGGATTTCCTATTGTGGCCCCGCCCTACCCCAGGGGGTCAAGATTTTAACAATTTAATATCTACACTACCCCAGGATGCTTCCACAAAAGTTTCAGCTTTCCTGGCCCAGTAGCTCTTGAGAAGAAGATTTTTAAATATTTGTTCTATATATTTCTATGTAAAACTTTGATTCCCTATTGTGGCCCCGCCCAAGCCCCGGGGATCATGATTTGTACAATTTAGAATCTACACTACCCCAGGATACTTCCACATAAGTTTCAGCTTTTCTGGCCCTGTGGTTCTTGAGAAGATTTTTAAAGTTTTTTCCTATATATTTCTATGTAAAACTTGGATTCCCCATTGTGGCCCCGCCCTATCCCCGGGGGTCATGATTTGAACAATTTAGAATCTATACTACCCTAGGATGCTTCCACATAAGTTTCAGCTTTCCTGGCCCAGTGGTTCTTGAGAAGAAGATTTTTTAATGAACCCACCCTATTATCTCCCCTTGTTAAGGGATTTGGCCCTTCATTTTAACAATTTAAATTCCCCTTCACCCAAGGATGCTTTGTACCAAGTTTGGTCAAAATGGGCCCAGTGGTTCTTGAGAAGAAGTCGAAAATGTGAAAAGTTTACGGACGGACAGACGGACGGACGGACGACAGACACAATGTGATCAGAAAAGCTCACTTGAGCCTTCGCCTCAGGTGAGCTAAAAAAGTTAATAGTTAATACAGAGTACACGGACACAATTTGATCAGAAAAGCTCACTTGAGCCTTTGGCTCAGGTGAGCTAAAAAAGTTAATACAGAGTATATGATCTTGTTACATTTTTATGTTTTTTTTTTGGGGGGGGGGGGGGGGGGGGGGTTGGATGTTTTATTGAAATAGCACAAAATGTAACTTAATGATTAAATACACAAATATACATATTACCGGTATATGAAAATTTTATGTGGTCACAGAATAAAATTAAAGCCAGAAAGAAATTTTGACCTATTTTCGGGCGTTTTGGTGTTTCAGTCTAACCCGACCCTATACATGCTCCTGATATAGCATGAAAGTGTTTAAAATGGCCTGAAACTTATTAAAAAATAATAAAAGCAACACTATCAAGTGAAAACATGGATGGCCATTTACTTGTAATATGTATCTTGAACTTAACATTCATCATCATGACATCAACCGTGTAGATTCTATGTGAGATTTTGAGAACCAGAGTAAACATGGTATACAACATGTAGAAATGTTTTATATATTTCCTTTCTTAATAATTTTATCCAAAAGTCTTTATTAATTTTTTAAGGAAGATATTTAAAAATTGCGACAGTGAATGATAAGCTCTCTCTCTCTTCGAAAGCTGACGAAGTATTCATTTAACTAGATTGGAAAGGCCTGGGAAAGTTACAAGTATTATTCCAGCAGTTTCTACAATGAAGGAGGTTTTTTTTAAAAATATTTTTATAAATATCGTGAAATACCGGTATCTGGCTTTCATATCGCAATATATTATCGTGGTGGATAATACCGCAATATACCGATATACCCGTAATATTGCACAGCCCTAAAAAGAAAAATAGACTTTTTGATGAATTGACATAAAGAATCGGTGATACTGACAGGCGATAAGGAGAAGCCTGTTACACTCGACTTGTTCGGGCGAGCCCTGGAAGTAAGAGTTACTGGAGCAGCACTGGTTGAGGGCGTTACTGGTCTGCATGATGACACTCTGCTCTTGACTGACCAATTCCTGGAGCTCCTACAAAATATAAACAAACAATTATAACTTACCCAGAAAGAAGCAAATCACATCACAGGGAGTCAGACAGAGTTAAGGAAACTTTTGCTGATTAACAGCTAATATCATGTATTGATGGTAACATGTCCCTGTAGCAGCAGTACCTGTATTCTCTCCTGAATGCTCTTGCGTTCCAGCTCGGGTGGTAACTGTGTCGGCATCTCAATATTCTCCTCATGTATAGAATCCTCAAACTCCCGATTACGAATAATTCTCTTCTTGGGAGAATTAGACTCATGCAGGTATCTGAAAAGAGGACATACATACTATTTCATGCCTTTTTAGTCTTTATAATAAGCTTCTAAAACAAGATGCCCATGGGCCACATCGCTCACCTGAGTAACTTGGGTGATGCAGATCTTTTTAAAAGATTTGTTCTATATATATTTATATGTAAAACTTGGATTCCCCATTGTGGCCCCGCCCTACGCCCGAGGGTCATGATTTTAACAATTTAATATCTACACTACTCAAGGATGCTTCCACATAAGTTTCAGCTTTCCAGGCCTAGTGGTTCTTGAAAAGAAGATTTTTAAAGATTTGTTCAATAAATTTCTATGTTAAACTTGGATTCCCTATTGTGGCCCCGCCCTACCCCCGGGGGAAATGATTTTAACAATTTAATATCTACACTACCCAAGGATGCTCCCACATAAGTTTCAGCTTTCCTGGCCGAGTGGTTCTTGAGAAGAAGATTTTCAAAGATTTGTTCTATATATTTCTATGTAAAACTTGGATTCCCTATTGTGGCCCAGCCCTACCCCCGGGGGTCATGATTTTTACAATTTAATATCTACACTACCCAAGGATGCTTCCACAAAAGTTTTAGCTTTCCTGGCCCAGTAGTTCTTGAGAAGAAGATTTTTAAAGATTTGTTCTATATATTTCTCTGTAAACTTGGATCTCCTATTGTGGCCAAGCCCTAGCCCCGGGGTTCTTGATTTTAACAATTTAATATCTACACTACCCCAGGATGCTTCCATATAAATTTCAGCTTTTCTGGCCCAGTGGTTCTTGAGAAGAAGATTTTTTAATGACCCCAACCTATTTTCATATTTTCTTGATTATCTCCCCTTGGAAGGGGTCTTGGCCCTTGATTTTAACAATTTACATTCCCCTTCACCCATGGATGCTTTGTACCAACTTCTGTTAAAATTGGCCCAGTGGTTTTTGAGAAGAAATTGAAAATGTAAAAAGTTTACAGACGGACGGAAAACGGGTATTTGGCTTTCATACCGGCAAAACCGATAGAAAATCGAAATGTCCAATGAAATTCGTTACAGTACCGGTCCGTGTGACCGATTGTGGTGAGGGCTTGTCCTGATTAATTTATTTTACTCTAATCTATTGCAATATCTTCATAAATGAAAATTTTCAATGCAGCAAGCTCCTATTCTTCGTAAATATCCATAATCTTATCCATTTTGCAGTTCTACTTGACTTATTTACTTCCAAAAACGATCGTTTTTTCCTAATCCGAATTTCCTCCATTCCTCTGTTATTGGTAAACACATGCAGTATATAGGTCATGAAGTGCAATGCCCACTGAGAAAACGTAACGATAATTTAAAATTTATTTTTATTTGGAATTTCTATCATAACTGCTATTTACAAGTGAGAATTAATCTTTAAATTTTAAAAAGAATTCTAGAAACCTTGAGAAGTTTTCTTTTTCAAGGATTAACTTTTTTTTTATAATTAGTTGTTTCTTTCCCCCAACATTTACTTGGGGCTAGTGACTTTATTGCTGCCACAAGCCTGTGTGAGCTGGTGCCATGCTTGAATTAATTATAGTTGCATAACCCTGGTATCACAATCAGTGTTTGTGAGCCACAAAATTTTTTACATATTCAATGCCATTTTCTTTGAATTACATCTGACAGGAAATATACTCTGTATATTTTAAAAAAAATTTCGGACCGATAGAATATGCTTCGGACTGGTAGAACACATTACGTCATCAGTCCGAATGACTGATAGAAATATTTGAATTTCGGAAACTCTGACAGACAGACGGACGGACGACGAACACTGGGTGATCAGAAAAGCTCACTTGAGCTTTCAGCTCAGGTGAGCTAACAAAACATAATTCAAACTTTGTTTAAACATTGCTTAGGCCAAAAAAAATTAATTAACAGTTTCTCAGGCCAAAAAATTCAAAATTCAATGCGGCAGGCAGGTTTTTTTTTTTTTTTTTTTTTTTTTCGAAGCAGGTTTTACCCCTTTTTTTGTAAGTCATTTGTGCAGTAAAATGATAATATCTACTAATTCTTAAGTTTTGTTCTCTGAAATTAGTTACAATACGTATTCAATGTTAAATGTTATTCCAAACATTTATTTAAAGTTAACTGATAAAATACTTCAGATTTAAAAGAAATATATTTTTTTTTTCGAATAAAAACGTCTTTCTTAGCATTTATGAAAAGGGGAATAACTCGATTTTCTTTTTCAACCTGGAAAAATAGAAAATTGAGTTATTTCCCTTTTCAATATGTCAATAAAATTGATCAATGCGGCAATTTTTGAACTGATGCGGCGGGGCCTGAGAAACTATTGATTAATTTTTTTTTGGCCTTAGTCCTAAGACTATATACATGTAAATACAAACCTGCGTGACCTGTACATGCTAACACTATAAGCCAGGTTCCCAGCATTTTCTTCACTGGTAGCCATCATATGACTTCGTCTTTTGCGCTGTAATGATATACACATTTTCAAAATTCATCATATTTGAATTAAAACTCATAAATCTATTGACCCTTAATATCATACAAGGATGATTAAACAGAAGCCTGTGAAATTACGTGACTTACTGGAGCAGCTCTTGGTTTACTGGTGGCCTCCTCCTCATCACTCATGGCTTCGTCCAGCAGGTCATTAATCTGGTTCTCTGACAATTCGTCATCCTCGGTGTCTGAGTACTCTCTAGATTCCGTGGAGTAGGAGCTCTGATCACTGGACGTACTCTCCAGACTGCTGGAGCTGGTCTGCTGCTGAGGAACCACCAGATTAGAACCACTCCTGTAGCTGGAGGGCACTGATGCCACCGGGTTTACGGTCGGCCTAGGTCTGCCTTCCCTCTGTTCGGTTTCTTTCTGTGGACCACTGGGCAGCACACTCTGTCGTCGGACGGAGGCGGGGACAAAAGCACTGAAACTGACGTCATCACTGTCCGAGTCATCCTCCTCCATCATCAGGGGAAGAGGGGCCTGGGGACAAACGTCACTCTCGGACTCACTGGCCGGCCTCGGCCTCACATCATCAGCTGAGGACGCTAGATCTTCCTCCTCCTCCTGAGTTGAGGACAAAGGTCTCCTCGTGTACAGCTCCTCATCCTCAGTACTGTCAAAACTGTCGTCCGACTTCCTGTCCCTGTTTCCTGGCATGCTTGGCTTCTCATTTCTTTTCTGTGATATGAGGTGGTATATGCTGGGTGAGGGGTGACTCTTTGACTGGCTACCGTTAGCCGTGGCTGGTTTGGTCTGGGTGGGGGGTTGTCCCTGTTTCTCTTGGAAGTCGTAAGATGCATCACTGCTGTCATCTGAAAGTTCAAATCCCATTGCTGCTAACTTTCTCTCAAACTCTAAATGCAGTTGTCAGAAAAAAAAGAACAGTAACTTTGTTAGCATAAAAAAGCATGCAGCATGCAATGTAAGATTTCTCATTCTAAAAAGCCAAAATTTCTAGACATGACTCTGCATAAAAAAATATAAATTATGACTATATCTTTCTGAATCTATAGGAATAAAATGAGAATTCTTGCAGAATGTAGCAAACTATTGTTAATTAAATGTACAGCTTAATTTCTTAAAAGATGAAATGGAGATTGTTATTGATGAGAATTAGAAGAATTAGAAGTGAAAACAATGATCCTCCATCCCTCTTATCCCATAAATGAAGGTGTTGTAATTGTGTGCAATCTCAGTGGTTAGTATGAATTTGTTCAAAAAGTTCCCTCCATTTAATTTGTACACATTTGCATGATCCATTTTGGGAGGTCTGTTGTCATGTACATCTTATAAATGGACCTTTGATTATAGGCACACAATTAAAATAGCACAAATGTAATTAAATCTGAGGCAAAGAATGAAAATGCACAATGTACCATTGAATAAATTATATAATATGTAAACATAATTTACAACATATAACTGAAGGATGGAGATTGTTAAGGGGTGAATTTCAATTGGAAAAAATGAATGTGTCTTTTATTATATACATGTACCTTAAGGTAGACCCTTCTCAAAATTTTTTAGGTTAATGTTTTTCTCTCTTAGATTCATTAGAATAACATCTCACTATACTCCAGGTTTTCATTAAAAAAAAAAAGGTTTTCATCAGAATCAATAGCTGATTTAAGTACAATATTAAAGAAAAACTACTATCAATTCAATCTATATATGACAGGAATAGGGATCTACCTTAAACAATACATGAAGGAATGATTCATATCATAAGTACAAGACCTGACATGCATTGCTTAGCTTGAAAGGTCTGTCCTTGATGAGAACTTTAGCATTTATGGATTAAAAATTTAAATTACCCCCACCCACCCCCACCCCAAAAAAAACCACCTTTGAAGTGATGACTTTGGTTTCAAGCCATGTACATTTATGACAGCCTTAGTTACAAATCATCCAGCACCAAAACCAATAAAAACATGCACATGATTAAATATCATATATCAGTATAATTCGTAAATACACTTTATAATATTAAATATCTTATATTTAGTATAATATGTATACATCTGTTTACTAAAGAAGCAACATCTAGAAGCAATTGATATCAGAAAGCACCTGATTCGAATACATTTATCACATCTACCTTTAATATCAGTCTTTGGAATGGAAAAAAACTAAAATCTTTCTTTGCTAATTACCAAATTTTAAAATTTGCTGCTTTTTTGCACTTTACCACCAAAAATATTGAATATCAAGATTAGGAATAATTAAATAGTGACATGTATAATTACAGGTGAAACTAAATCCATGAGATTTAGCTGTGATAATGTAGTTAAGAATAGAAAATAATATCCAAGAAGTCATCCTGTCCCAGTATAACATCTTTGTTTTCATAAAATTGGAGCACCCCTAACACTAAACAAAACAAGTCTGAGTAAAACCCACCAGCCCTGGCCTTGGCTCTGATGGCTTCCCGTCTGTTGTCTCCGATGTCCTTGGTCAGCTTCTGCTCCTCTGTGTCACTTGGGATCTACAACAAAAATCTAAAAATAACAATGTGAATAAATTGTTCATTACAGCATTTCTTAACCCTAACCCTGACAGCAGTCAACTGTTGACTGTTCAGAAGTGGAATTTGTATTTTTATATTTTATTTAATGTTTTTAAATACAACTGTACTGAGTAATTTTTATTTTAGAAGATGTAACCGTAAAAGGAAAGCTATATGTAAATCTGCAGTCCCTACCCTGTCTTTCCTGGGGACCTCCTCCTTGGGGATCCCATTCTGATGCCGGTTCTGCAGCTGATGTACCTCCTCCATTCTCTCACGTCTCATCTTCTCTGCGGTGTCTGCTGTTTTCCCATGGGACACCTGCTCCAGTAACTTCTGCTGCATGATCTTGGTGGCACTGCCTATCTTCCCAGGTGTAGCTTCTGTTTTCACTGGACTCTCCATTGCTGCTTTGATGTGATCAGCTTTCTGTAGTATATTCTCCTTGACTGATTTTGATGGTGTCACCATTTTACTCTCTGTAGTCTGTCCAATAGCCTTTACGGGAGTGGATTTTTTAGCACTACCATACACTGGAGCCTTGGCTGGGGATTTCTTGGTAGGAGACACACTGCTAGGGTCCACCTTTTTAATATAAGACACCTTATTGCTGGAGGACATCTCTTCCCATGCCGACATCCTGGCATTGACAGAGTAAGCTGTTGGTTCATCCTCTTTTCGTGGCGTTGATTCAGACAGTCTTTGCTGCCAGGACGCCATTCTGGCGGACACAGGCTGAGCGGCGGGGTCGTCTTTTTCTACCCTGGACTCTCCCTGAGTGGTAGCGCTTGGATTCTTGGATTCTGAGAACTGTGGTTTCGGCAGTGGTGGCTTATCTGAGATTGGTGTGGCCATCTGGCGGACTGGGTGCTGCACTCTGCTGACAGAGGCTGTAGGGGTCGATATCTTCTGCTCCCACACAGCTTTTTTGGCTGACACTGGTTGTTCAGATGGATCTACTGGCTTTTCCTATTTTTTATTTAAAGAAAGCAATCAGTTTTTTAAATATATGAATTATAATGTTTTGCAACACAAAACATAAAACCTTTACATATATTGAAAGGGGAGGGGGGTCTTAATTAATCTGACATTGAAAAACAGCTCTGATTGTTAAGATGAGAAAATAAAATATTTCTCCTACCTACCTTTCTACCCAATAAGTCTGGATTGGAAAAGAGCACTCCCTTTTTAAAAATTTATTTTGCTCTTTTGTTCTTTTCTAACCAGTCTTTGTTTCATTACATTGTAAACAAAACAATTTTTATTCATACATCTGCTTTCTAATTTCAAAAGTAAACAGGACCTTTGTTTTGACTGAGAGTGAGAGATAAGAAAAATGCATTTTACTGAAATGCCAATGCTTCATTGATAACTTTTCATATAGACATTTACCTTTTTGGGCGTTTCAGAAGACTTCCAGCTGTTGATATTGACCTTTTTGGGCATTTCAGAAGACTTCCATCGATTGGTAGATATTTACCTTTTTGGGCGTTTCAGAAGACTTCCATCGATTGATAGATATTTACCTTTTTGGGCATTTCAGAAGACTTCCATCGATTGATAGATATTTACCTTTTTGAGCATTTCAGAAGACTTCCATCGATTGATAGATATTTACCTTTTTGAGCGTTTCAGAAGACTTCCATCGATTGATAGATATTGACCTTTTTGAGCGTTTCAGAAGACTTCCATCGATTGATAGATATTGACCTTTTTGAGCGTTTCAGAAGACTTCCATCGATTGATAGATATTTACCTTTTTCGGAGTTTCATAAGACTTCCAGCTGTTATTTACCTTTTTGGGCGTTTCAGAAGATTTCCAGCTGTTGAGTCTCTCGGACACAGACTTAGATGTGGGCTCCTCCTGTCTCTCCTTCTGTACCTGAGGTGTCGCCTCTACTGGCTTACTGCCGCTGTTTGTCCGCTGTTTAACGCCTGTGGTTGTGGGCGGCGGTGGGGCAGGTGTTTTCTTTGGGGAAGGAGCCACTGGGGCCGGTGGTGCGGGAGGCGGCTTCACGGACGACTGTGGAGGACTTGGGGTAGTTTTCACTGGTGTTGGTTTGACAGGTCCCGTAACAGAGTCTGGTTTAGGTGGCTGCCATCTTGGTTTAGGTTCCTCTGGTTTGCTACAAAAGAAAATCATTAAATGCAGTCAGCTGCTGATACATGTAGGTGTGTCCTGTTCTTTTTAAACTAAAAGTCTTTCCAGACAAAAAATTGTTTATCTATACTATTGAATGGGTAACAGAATTTTCTTCACTTCAATTTTCCCCCCAATAATTCTAAGTCTCTGCTGACTCACTGAATCGTGGGGTGACTGAGGTCGTCCTCCCAGTTACTGATGGTCTGAGCCAGGTGAGCAAAGCGGCCCCTCCTTCCATTAGAACCCCCCGGCTCACCGACATTCTCCTTGGAAATCACTGCCGCCTCCTTCTGAGCTGTGACGATGTTTTGTACTGGAGCTTCTTTACCAGAATTACTCACCTCTGTTTCCATCTCTATTACCAAAAGAAGACAAAATATCAAACACGAAATCACTTGTCTATTTATTTTATAAATGAACAGTTAAACTATCCACATTGTACATTGGGGGTCGTAGCAGATGCATTGTTTTATTTGGTGAAAGCTAGCATTTTACAACACATATATATATATCAAAGTCCCGCACAACTTTACCCCTAAAGTTTACCATCACTGTGGTATTTGTCCCGCAATTTGACAACATCTTTACCTGCGAAATTTTCTCTTTGTTTGGCTAAGTTCTGCATTCTCGACTTGACTCCGTTTATCGCTGGTGTGTCTGGATGAACTAGCTGTTCTTCATCACGCACACACTGTCTCTTCCCTGGTGAACCTAAAAAAAATTTCAGTTTTAACTTTTGAAAAGACAAAATTTTCACAGACCCATTTTAAAACCATGTACACATTTATAATTTTCTTTTTCAATTTACTTCCATCTTTCAAACTGAAAAGTTGAAGCTTTATTTTCCATCAATTATCAAATTGATAATCATTATTAAACCCCCTCTCCTCCCTCAAACTGACACATTAGGCCATCCCTTATTCTAGCTATACAATCATTACCCTCCCACACACTGACACATTAAGCCATCCCTTATTTTAGATTTTTTTAATCATTCATTACCATCCTTTACGGTGAGAGACACAGCTGGTACATTTTCTCTGGTCAGATTCTGCTCCAGAATTCTCTTTCTTGGCGTCACATCTGGAGTCTTTCCCAGTTTCTGATTCAGAACCTCTCTACGATGTCTGGTTTTTTCTAACAGTCTCTGCAATTACAAAACAAATTCAGTAGGCTTAATAACCTGGTTAAAAATAACTTTTTCTGAGAAATAAATATCTCTGGTAAATTGTGGACTGTCCAATACACTCAAAGACAGTCATTTCAATATTGAAATTCTCTATCTTTTTTCCTGAGATTTTTATTTTTTGACATGGCTGAGGGGCCTTTCATTTCAACAAGTTACAAGCCCCGTTCTACTTTTGTTGAACATTTGAAGACCTGTCAAGAGATGACTCAGTTTCAATAAACTATATTTTAATCTGCAAATGATGTAAACTACAGGAGTCCTATTCAGGACTGCATGTACTAGGGATATAAAAACATCTCTGAACTGCCAAAGCAATTTGACAGATAATGATGCAAATTCTACAAAAATCATTTAAAATAGACATGCTCTTTCATTGGTTTAAATTCAGCAATATCTTTGCTTTGCAAAACACAAGAATTACATCTAACATGATTAAATTGTACATTTTTTTACTAAGTACTTTCACCATTTATCATGTTTAGGTCAGAATATATTTTCTATATTAAAAATCCAATATTTGAACCAACACCAGTAACAATTACCATTGATTAAAAAGATAAAAAATAGCAATTTTTTTTCACAAATCCCCCATAAAATAATGAAACAAAAACATCATGAATATTGAACAGAAACCTGTAAATCGCCTGCTGAAAGTTCCTGCTCGTTATGTTTTTCAAGTTTCTGAAAGGATTCCACAGCGATCTCTTCAAAAGATCCCAATTTAGATATATCGACTTCCTCGATTGTTTTTTCTGCAAGTTCCTCAAACGAACTATCAGACACCTCTTGTATGCTGTCCGACATCATTTTAAATGAACGTCTCCTTTTATCTTACCGCCAGTCTTCAATCCAAACTTTTTGAATTTTGAGTTATCTCATCCCACGTGATCATGCACATTCTTAACCTTTGCACTTGCAAGGCAAAAAAATTGAAATATTTTGTATATTCGATGCAACAATGTTCACATCAAGTCTTAAGAAATCAACAATTTAGTAACACATAATTATAATAAAATGTTTGAACAACCCTGAAAATATTTTTCATGGATATAAACATTGTTCGTGCAACTGGAATAGTTTGAAAATCACAACAGTAAATTGTACCGCCTTAATCCTACGAGAAACCGTAAAAATCTGCATCAGATATTGCTATAATTCAATATCTGTACTCCTAATACGACGAAATCTGGCTATGAAAATGAATACTACTCACCTCTGTATAAGGATCCATCGCTGAACTTATAATCAGGCTAAAACATTTGAACACTAATCTCGTGGCACTTGTTTACAATATTTAAAATTGGCGGTTGGAAGTATCGCGCTTTCTCGTGAGGTCACGGCTCAGAGGAGAGTGCTAATCTACGAAAATAATGACTAGCGGAAAGATACACACAACAATTTAAGTAGACATTTAAACTTACGACAAAAAGACGATATATTATTAGTTATTGATATCTTACAAATTTCATCTTTAAAAAAAAAAACATTCAAAGTCCAAAATTTAACTGTTACATCAGAGTACTCCGTATTATAAAGAAGGTTACTGAGACCTTCTTGCCAAAGTTAGGCCTATCGTATCTTAATTTATATGCTCTCAAATATTTACTCCCCGTCATTCATCAAATATAAGCAAGATATTTATTTGAAATAAATCATCAAAATTATAAACAGAAAATGTGAAATGCAGAAAAATAATTTGAAGAAGAGCAAAATAATTAAACCCCATTCGTGAAAACGTAGTATTATAGATTTGGTAAAGATTTTTTTCTTTAAAGAAATTAAGTCGAATTAACGAACAGGGAGTTACAAATGGATTTGATGAATTCAACATTACACTTTTTACTAAAATGTCCCACCTTAGATTCTATTAGACAGCCATATCTGATGAAAATAGGTCACTACCTGCAAGAAAAAATTGGCACACATGAATCAAATTCATACTTATTGGAGGACACTAGATTGCTACAGATTATTATCCACCCCTCCTACTTCACATTCTCAGAGATTCCATCCAGAAACAACAAAATTCAGATATTTCTTGAGAACCTGAGCCGCAACATGGTATTTGCTCTACATTGTCATAGAGCTCAAATTATTAAAAAAATTAGTACACAGTCTACAAACAACAGACCTTAATTTTTTGGTAAAGAGGAATTTTTTGGTAAAGAGGAATATAAAATTATTTTAAGAGTTGAAATAAATTTTTTAAATAGAAACAGTTGGAAAAGGTGTAAAATTCTTTTTAACTGTGGCTTTTTTAAGAACTTTAGAGCCGAAACAATTTTACTTTAGGAGAGCTACTTAAAAATTGGTCTTTCACCCCTAACTTCATTTTACAGCACTACATAGAATAGATTTTACTAACTGTCTTTTCCTCACTTTAGCTCTTTTATTTTTGATTTTTATGCCTTTTATGAAACAACCTTTTCGGGTGCTCCTTATACATAGGAGGGAAATCCACAACTGAACTGAACTGAACTGAACATCCGTGAATTACTATTTGACGAATGTCAGAGAGACATACAGGTTTATAGCCCAACCCTACCGCTCTCGTCTGCATCGTGATAGTCATGTGGTATTCTGAGCACGTGTTTTTGTTTTGATTTACGAGCAGGATGTATGTTTTATCGCCTTTTTGTTTTGTTTTAACCTTTGGGTTAATTTCGACATCCCACTTGGAATTCATGACATTTGGTACCAACGGGGGTACAAACTGCGCAGGCAAGTTTCTATAACCATGAAAATCAAATCGTAATGTAACACGGAAGTATTGGTCTGTTTATATCAATTAATTAATGTATGTTTCTTTACATAGGTCATAATATTCTAATGTCCAATATCTAAGCGCTTTATTAGAATGTATTCTTCACGTAACGCGAACTTGCAAGACGTGTAATATCGGGGGGTTGTAGAGGGTGCCTATCCATAGCTGCCACCGCCCCTGGAAACTTTTTTCCCCCAACGCACGTATTAAACTTTTTACAATTCATGAAATGCTAATTAAAGCAGGTATGTAGCCACGGGGGAGGGGGGGGGGGGCAGGGGGCCTGCCCCCCCCCCCCCACTTTTTTCAACCTTACTTATGCTATAGGAAATGTTAATTGAAAGTCTGGTTGCCCCCCCCCTTTTAGTGATACCGAAAATGTATAAAAATTGGTACTGAAAGTAGTCGACACCGAGAAAAAGTTGGCCTCTACCCCCCCCCCCCCCCCCCCACACACACACACACACGAAATAGGATTTTCGACTTTGGGCAACCTTTCCCTTTCTTTTCTTTTTTTTTTTGCTTGTCAACTTTTTCAGATAAGTAAAAAAAAAATTTCTCTGGCTGCCCCCCCTTTCAAAAACGATGCTACGTGCCTGAAAGGTTTATGCCCCTCCCACCTTTCGCTATATTCTCAGTTAAAATCATGATAATGTGACATTATGGGCGTCTTTGGGCGGACACTACTAAGAACGAACACGATCCTCCTTGCAGGAACTTGTTCCTCTTGTTCTCAAGAACAAACGCCCTAACAACAAGTTAAATTTTAAGAACAAAACAATAGCGTCTTTATTTGGGAAATATTACTTTCTGGAAGAATTTTTAATAGAAAATCAACTTCCCTGCTTGTTTAATGACCCTGTACCAATATTTTCATCAATATCAGTAGGACAAAATGACCCAAGACCTAAAGTGAAAGGTTTTGTGGACAATGTTGTTGATGCATGGTCGGAGAGAGAGTTAAGAAGACATTTAAGAATTAGCAAAACAATTTATTCTCATTTATTAAATGAATTAAGGGACCCTTTGGAGAAAATCAATCATGGGGGCTATAGCCCAATATCACCCAAGGATCAACTTACATATTCATTTGGTATTTGGCGAATTTGGACAGTCAGAGAGAAATAGCTCTGCTTTTTGGCGTAAGCGAGTGGTTTGTACACACATGTATTAAATACAAATTTTAAGCGCAAGGGTAAAACAGTATATATCTTGGCCATCTTATGAAAGACAGAGACACATTGCAGAAAGTTTGGAAACAAACACTGGATTGTTGGTGTAATGGATGGCACTCACATCCGGGTTGTTAATTGTCCTGGGGGTCAGCAAGATTATATCAACAGAAAAGGGTTTGCATCCATTCAAGCACAACTCATTGTGGATGACAAATGAATGATAAATGATGTAAACGTGGGATGGTCTGGCAGTATACCCATGACGCGAGAGATAGGCTTGTTGCCATTCTTTGAATATGCCATTTGAAAATATTTATTATTAAACTACTCTAACCTGGATGATTTAAGTACAGAAGATTGATTAAATATTAATATCAATATACAATGTTGTATACTTTATAGATAACATTTATTTAAAGATCATTTTATGCAAGGTTACAAATGAAAAGAATTGTGCCTATCACAAAGTCAATCATCTTGCTTGTGAAATTTTCATTTCAAGCTTGTATGCTAATTATAAACTACTAACACTGGCTTATACTGCAAAATTGATTTGTAAATATTAATGTTTTCATCAAATACAAGTTGAATAATCAAGATACGCTAGATATATAAAAGGTTTAACAAGTTTGATTTCTATGTCATAACTTTTGATTTGATCTTGAAAATTAATAAAAAAAAAAAAAAAGATATTTCTTATCATTAAAAAGGCAATGTGTCACATTCAAAAAAGATATTCATGGGGATGGGCCACATTGCTCGCCTGATCAAAAGCAGAAATCACTACAAGTTTTAAAATATAGGTGGTCTCATCTTAGCCTCCAGTGGGGTCAGATTAAAAAAAAATATTGAATCTGTGCTAACTGAGGATGCTTCAGTATTTCTTTAATTAATCATGGCATTAGAATTTTTTAAGAAAAAAAAATTCACCTATGTAATCCTATATAAAATTTTGCCCATTGTAAAGTTTAGTTGATATTGGTGTAGTTGTTCTGGAGAAATCATAAGAGTGAAAAGTTGACAGACAACACAGACAGACAGACAGATGCTGCTTTCCAGTGAATCAGAAAAGCTCTCTTGATCATTTTAAGGAAAACCTTGATGATTAAAAATAGGAAAAAACATCCTTGCATCATTTGTAAACAATGAGTATACTTTAAATGATAATTTAACAAAAAAAATGGTTGAACACTTTCCTGGTGCCTATTGCCTCACTGATTGTGTAAAACAATATTCAAAATAAAATGACAAAATGCACATATAACATATAAAGAAACCCATCAATTCTGCTTTGGGAGTCAGATCCTGGCACATGTGCAAAAATATTAAATGGCTTGATTCCTTACAAAAGGCTCTACACATGACACAACAACTACATGTAAGGTATGTAATTTAGAAATAAAAACAAAATTCTGAACCTGACTGGCACGATAAAAAAATTAATATCATTCGAAGTGCAATGCCCAGCAAATCACTAATTTTCATCCTTCTTCCCTGTCTGTTTTGACATCAATTCCAGAAACCTACCCATCCTTCTAAATTTTTCCTCATCTTGTTCTTTTTGAAATTTTGTTTCAAAAAGTTGTTTTTCTTGCATATTTTGTTGTACGCTTTACGAACAGGATGTATGTTTTATCAAATTTTTGTTTTGTTTTAACCTTTGGGTTAATTTCGACATCCCAACTTGAATTCACGACATTTGGTACCAACGGGGGTACAGACTGCGCAGGCAAGTTTCTATAACCATGATAACTTGTTAAAACAAGTCGTAATGTACTAACACGGAAGTATTGGTCTGTATCAATTAATTAATGTATGTTTCTTTACATAGGTCATAATATTCTAATGTCTAATATCTAAGCGCTTTATTAGAATGTATTCTTCACGTAACGCGAACTTGCAAGACGTGTAATATCGGGGGGTTGTAGAGGGTGCCTACCCATATAGCTGCCACCGCCCAAACTTTTTTCCCCCGAACGCACGTATTAAACTTTTTACAATTCATGAAATGTTAATTAAAAGGTTTATATGCCCCTCCCGCCTTTCGCTACATTCTCATATTTTGGATTTCCCGGAGCAAAACATGAGCACGGTCATATTTTCTATAATATTTCAAAATTATAATTAAACTCTTTATTGCATAATACATCCATATGGGCCAAGCAATACAATCCATCATAACAGAATAAAAAACAAAACAAAAACGAAAGAGAACAATGAATTATATGTACAATAGACGTATAGAAATTTATTCCCTTAATGTTACAACGATGTGGACCTTTTATTTCTCAATTCTAATGACTGTTTTAGAATAGTGCAAACAGCCGCTTGAAGGGTACCCATCTCTTAGCCGCAACTTATAGCTACTATACCATTTAATAAAATTGAACGATACTTTCACAGCTTCTTTATTACATAATGCCATTGTGCACCTCTTATTTTACTTTTTGAAATGACAATTATCTCGGGTCTCCCAGTGCAAAATATGGACTTTGCCTTTATAACATATAAACATACAGTTTATGGAAGGCGGGGGTATCATTTAGTGAGCTTATGCTCACAGTACCTGTGTATATATACTTTTTTTTGTCTGGCTTTAGTTTTTTGACGTAAAATATCGAAATCTTAATTAAAAAGTCTGGAAAACGTTAGATTTTTCGGACTAGTAATCGGTAATGATACATTAATTGTATGTTGTTTATAGGCGAAAAAAGGACGCAGCTGGGGTCCCAACAACTAAATATATATATAAATATAATGAACTGTGTAATATTTTTTCTCTCCAGTGTGCACGGTAGTACTTGGTCTGGCGGAACAACTCTCTGTGATACATAATGAGACCGTGGTCAAAGGACTGGAGAGGATCTGTTACTTCCTGCCCGACCCGTACCAAGCAGCGTGTAAAGACTTTACCGACTTCATCGCCGCGGATATTATCAAAGTGTAACGTAAAATGATAACCATTCTTAGCATGTTCAATGTATGAAGATTTATTATTTTTAGGCCATGATAAATAATATCTTTGAATTACGTTCCTTAATTGTTCAAGAATGTCGTTATAATTCGAATAAATACAAAGTTGAACACATTTCTAAAACAATTCAACAGTTGACAAACTATTGACTATTATCGAAAAAGAGAAAGAAAGCTTTTATATGTTGACATTCAGTGCTTTCTAGTGAAAAAACTACAATTTTATACAATAAGGATTTTCAGTGCATAAATATGATGGACTACACTTGATTTCTTAAAGTCAATTTTCTCCTAAAGTAAAAAAAAAATCATTTCTTTCATTAGAGCATCATCGAGAGTCGTATTCTAGAGTATACAGATTCATGAGAATGGCATCAAAGGCTATACGAAACAATTGATTCATCAAAAAAGTTGTATACATGTATATGCCTGTTTCTTTTTATTTGTTTCAGTTTGTTTATTTGTTGTTGTTTCTTTAAATATTATTTTTTACGGATTTAACTGAAGCCTTTCCAGCGGCAGACATAAAATAATGGAAAAACTAATTTATCATGGCCTTTATGCGGTATACTGTTGCTTAATGTAACACCCACAACAATGTACACTTGCTTCAAAGATAAATATATGTAAACTTTTGTTAAATATTTTTTTATTGAGAACTATGATGGCTAATCTCTTTTTATGTCTTTTTATTAAAAATTTTAAATCCAAATTTTCCAGGTTTTCTAGGGACGACACGGTGGATACAGCGTGTCACAAGTTATCGTTCTGTTTCACAGAGCCCTACTCAGAAATGTGTCACATCTTCCCCATCAGACCCAAACAAAGGCTTCAACTGGAAACAATGCAGGTATACAGTTACTGTACACAGATTTCACTTCTACAGGCACGGATCCAGGGAATCTTTCCAGGGGGGGGGGGGGGTCCACATTAATTAACTGTAGCAGATGTCTCACTCGGATACCCCCCCCCCCCAAAAAAAAAAAAGAAAGAAAGAAAAGGAGAATCAACTACATGTACCTTAGCTACAGAACTGTAGCATTATGTTCTCATATACGTCATGGTCAAAGACTAACATATAATAAAACCATAACGCTACAGGTTTACAGCTTCCTGCACCTCAATCCTGAAAAACCTTATTTGTAAGGGGGTTATGTTTAGAAGACACTTTTTAAAGTCTATTTTTCTCAGATCCACATATTCGCAAGCCAAGAGTTTTCTGTCCGCTTGGTTTGTGGAAAGCAGAGCGAAAGGTGGACCGAAAATTCATGGTTTGCGAAGATGCAGACCATGAGATATTATTGGTTTTGAAGAGTGAACCAAAACGTAAAGGATCTGAAACAAGGTCTTATATACTACTTATGTGGTTCCTCTCCTTACACATGACAATATAACTCTTGTCTCTTTTTTCAGATGGACTCGTGTTTCACGGAGGGGGGGGGGTCCAATGTTATATCGTCGTTACTCTTACTCAGAACCTTTTGATTATGAACATCCCAGGAGTCCATCCCCCGCCCAATACTCATTTAGATCCGCACCCGTTCTACGCAGATTGTATTTTTACTATTTACTTTCAGAGACATAGACCTCATCGGATTGGGGCGAATATATGCGATATACCTGGAATCAAAAGGATATGCACCTGGATAAATGAGTATATTTTAAGTTATTTCTAAGAGTTTTGCAGATATAGTAAATTTGAATCAGTCTAAAAAGCCATACGATATCATACATAATATTTCTGTGTTTGCAAACTGTGCATAAAACGAAACTTTCAAATATCTATACCCTTTCAAATAAAGGGATTATGCTTGTCTAATTAAATGATATGTAGAAAAGATAACTGAAATAAATATTTTTGGAAAAACTCTGTGAGATTGTAAGGATTATGATGATAACTATTTCTACAGTATATTCAGTAAACACGACCCTGCCATAGACTTGGATGGAGATTTTCACAGCGTGTACCAAGTAAGTACGACAGTTTTTCTTTTTAAATCTGGGATCGAATCGCCTTTTCCCTATTTTTCTATTCTAAAATGCACTATATGTTATCAATAATGTAACTCTTTTGTCTCTATAAGCTGTTTTTAAATATATCGTTTTCGACTGATACATATATATTATGTATGAGTCGAAAATGGATAGGGGGTTTCATACCCCAAGTGCCTGTGTTATTGTTTTTTGTGCGTTGGGGGGGGGGGGACAAAAACAAAGTGTTTTGCTTTCTACAGAAAAATGAATTTTATTACTTAAGTCCTATTCGATCTATCTAGTGGAAATATTTAGCTGTCTTCCTCAATTGTAGATTTAGTAACTATTTATGGACAATTTGGCATTGGCACCCTGCATGTATTTTGATAATTATCCCTCATTCACTGGCTTTCGCCATATCTAAACTATTTTTATGACATTCATCAGATCTTTAGCATCATAGCAAAGTGTCATGTCGTCGTCATTGGCAGTTTGAATTTATTTTTCAGTATATAGTATACATATACCTCTATTTAGTTGCCCTATTACCAAATTTTTCAAAAGCGAAGGGACAGATAAGCGGACAAACGTAAAGACAAACAAAAAAATAGGTGTCCCCGAAATTTTGATTATATTTGAGCAAAAGATATCTCCTTTGGAGTAACAAACTATAATATTATGTCTGATGCTCAGAGTCATATATATGACAGGCACATGTGTACACACAGCACAATAGTTTCTTTTAATGCATTCTGTGCATTGTGAAATATTTTTCAGTCTTGCCATAAAGCACAAAACCATTTCTTATTGATACACTGTTTTACACATTAAGTAAGAATTTTCTTTCACAAATTTTATGCTGCTTCGTATATGTAGTATTGTTAGAAACCATTTTTATCACATTAAATTTTTTGAACCTTTTTTTGCCCAACCCTTTATAATTTAGGCTTTTCTTTTTTCGCCTTGTAATTTGTATATATTTGTGATTTTTTTCTTTCAACAATTTCACAGACTTTAAGAGGTACATCTTGGCGAGGAAAAGATTGCGATGATGAAAGGAAAGCCTTCCATCCTGGTGCAAAGTATGCGTATTATCACACAGTAATACAGTAATATAGATGTGCACAGTTTGTGATTTTTCTTTATTTGAGGTCAAAGTTTTGTTATAATGGTACGTTTTTGGTAACAGAGGCAAACATATTTTTCATTCTTGAACAATATTTTTTCTTCAGACCAATAAATGGAGACAAAAGCGTAGATTCCAACTGCAATGGCATATACGTGAGTTGTTTATACTAGTAATTGAGTAATGAGTACTCCATGCCTGTTTTTCTATTTAAAGCTGAACACGATTCGTTTAAGGAATTTTTCCGACATATTCAATTACTCACTCGCTATATCTGAAGACCCCTATATATACCCGCTCACTAAGTCACTGATCAGTGTAATCAGTTAACACTGATGCAGACGAACTTCTGCTACATGGTACTCGGTAGAGACAAAAAATAACTGTATACTTCTTCTAATGCAATAGACTGAGGTACCAAAGAAAGTTACAAGTGCACAGGCCACTGCAATATACAAACAGACACACGTAACTGAAATAAAATATAGATAGTATTATCGAAAATAACATATGTCTATTTACGAGTCGTTTTCAGCTTTAACAGATCATCGAATTAGGAAAATGTATAGTCAATTCCACCCTATTTGTGTATCCTTTATTTTATGTAGGGTGTGAACCCTGCTACTGGGCGTGACTATGAGGAGGAGTTGTGTGGGACCAGTCAACCCCGCGGTGTCGCTGTTCTCGGCGACTCCATTGGTGCTCATTTCCATCTGCCAAGGGAATGGTTCAACGCCACGGAGATGTCTCTGGTACAAATATCACAAATATCACTATGATCCACTTTCTGCAAATACGCCTTTAAAAAAAGTTTTTCGTATAATTATTTCTTTTCTTGTTATTTAGAAAGTGTTCGAACCTCTTCCGTTTATTTTGGAGAATGAACTCGACTGGCCAGAGTTCTCGTCGACCACAGGTAGGATGAAGTCAACAGTTATAACCGCGTGGGTGTTTTTTTTTCTCAGAACATAAAAACAATTTCGTAAAATAATGCTTATTTCTTTGATAGCTTTTATGAACAATACAGAGAAGTTTCATGACGTATTACACGGACCTATAGATTCCATGTACATGAGGATGTTCGATAGAAATCACTGTAATCACCGGGACTACCAGAACATTGCCGTGAACGGTAAGTACTCCTTACAGGATAACCAGAACTTTGCCGTGAACGGTAAGTACTCCTCGCAGGATCTGGTCAAATTAACCGGGATTACCAGAACATCGCCGCGAACGGTAAGTACTCCTTACAGGATTACCAGAATATGGCCGTGAACGGTAAGTACTCAACACAGAATCTGGTCAAATTAACCGGGACTACCAGAACATTGCCGTGAACGTTAAGTAGTCCTCGCAGGATCTGGTCAAATTAACCGGGATTACCAGAACATTGCCGTGATTGGTAAATAGAAGTTTGATGATTTCTACCCAGTCCTCCGTCCTAGGTATGGTACTATATTTGACTTTTTTTTTACCTTGAACCGGCATAGTTCTAATTCCATTTGACCTGTATTCGACCTTGAATCCAATATAGTACTACTACAGCTATTCCTAGTTGACCTTTATCCGACTCGGAACATCTCAATCACCGTCTCAAACTTTGAATTTGAAACCAATTTTACTAGAATTACCTTTAAAGAAGAGACGTGCATTTTCAGTTAGATCAGTTTAAGTCTTTATAATTGTTTTGTATTTGATTTTCTTTTACCAAAATGAAAGCTCTGGACGGACAAGGTCCAATTTACCACCTTCTAACGTTACTCTTATTGCAAACAACCTTGATACCATCTTATCGCATCGTCCATTTGTCATATTTTATATGCCTGATTTTTGTTTAACTTTCTCAGGAGCAAGAGCGTCCTCAATGGCTGATACTATACAGTTTAGGTATACGCTTAAAATTCAATGATTCATTTACATATGTTTATCACGAACCTAATTATTTCATAAAATCATCAGTTCAGCAACTTCGACTCGGACATATACTGCTAGTTATGCTGTAAATCACTTTTTATTCACTAGAACTTTATTTCCACGCTATTTCGCAAGACGGTCTGCTCGCGAAAATTTTATTCTTGTTTACAATTTTACCACAAAAAGAGTATTTAAAGCAAAATTCATGAATATTTGATTTCTCTTATTAATATAAAACAACAATCTTGTGAAAACAAGGTAATATGCAGTAACAAAGCCAAGCATATTACTACTCTAACTCAGTTCAGCACTTCATTTCATGATTCATTTAAATCATACAATATAAAAGTTTTACAAAACATTGAACATTATTTTAATTTCTCCCCAAAATTATGATTCTAAATATTGTGCTAGAAAGCAATTGTTTTATTTTTAAGACAGTTAGTCTTGGGGAAAAGTAGTTCAAAATAAGATTGTCGCAAATTGTACAAAGTTATTTAGGGTTGTCCGGTAAAATCGAGGTTTTATAAGTGAATACATGAGTATTGATTTGAAATAAAAGATTTAAATAGATAAGATTAGGGTTAAAATTATCCTTATTCTATTCCACAATTTATTTTGTAGTCTTTTTAAAAATTTCAAGGCATTTGGTCAATTTTTGGCAGTTTCCTGAGCATTCGAAATGGGAGAGTGGTAAACGCAACAAACGAAAAATGGTGACGTTTGATGACGTTACGGCGCACCGGAGAGCAGTTCGCTTTGATTTAGATGGTGTAATAATGCCGTAAGAAACTTTAAATGAATAAAGAAGAGAAAAATCACCCAAACAATTACCAGATCTTTAGTATAGAAATGAAATGGGAGTTTTCTGAGTAAAGTCTTTCTTGATCGAGTCTAAAGGTAGTACAAAACCTACAGACAAACTGCTATAATTGTAAAAGCAAAAGACGCTGACACTGTTAACCATCAATATAAGATTGTCTATTAGTTGAATGATGGTGGGAATATTGTCCGTATCTTACGAATAAATCCTCAGAAGATCACACGATTGTGCCATATTGGTTCCTCTATTGTTTATGGAGACTACAGTATGGGCATCAATGAAATTCCGAAATTTAAGTGGGACTTATTCAACTTTATTTTTAGCACAAGGTACCTGACGCTGTTTTAGACACTTTGACGTTATCATCCGTGCGCCGTAAGGCGATACAATACCTAACATAAAATCTCATAATTCGTTTATTAATGCATAAATCTATTTGAAATTTGCTATATCTATTCAGAAAATATGTACTAAGAAGTAGTGAAAATTTTAGAACGCAGTGATCATTATTATTCACGCGAGACAACTTGTCCACGATTTTATTGGACAACCCTCGTACACTTGAAATTATAAATGAAATCCAATATAATCTTAATTGCACAAAACATATTTCAAATACAGTTGCAAACATAAGTAATTATTATTTACCTTTAAAGTGCATTTAAATATCTATTATAATATAAAAAATAATTTCATCTTTCTGATTGTTACAACAGGGTTTAACCAAACCTCATTTCTGTTATCCGGATGCAGCACTGCTCACCATCATATTTTATAATCTGCACCCAATAAACAGCTATTACTCTTTCTCATATCTAACAGCTATTGACATATTTTGCCCCTCATATATTCATCTTCCCAATACAATACACCGCTTTATTGCAAACTAGTATTTTCATACTCCTCATTTCTCTACAAAAATCTGTATGTGTAAGCAAGTACTCGGTATCGAAGCCTGATGCACTTTTACAAAGTACCGAACGTTTTTTTTCTGTGTCTCAAAGTAAAATTATAATAAACCTGCTTTTATTTGCATACATAATTCTAAAAAGAATTGATTCTTTGTAGTTCAATTGATGCACAATTACTTTCTATTTAATGTTATTCAATCATTAAGGTACATAGAAAATAATATATGACACAACCAAAATTACAAATTGTGTCCTTCGATATTTTCAGGTTTCATTTTATTCGCATTTGATAATATATTATACTAGTAATTTGTAATACACAATATTCTTCTTGTCATATGTAGCATGTGGCAAATCTGTCAATCAAATTATTACACAAAAATAGAACAATTTGTTTTAATTTGAAGGACAAATATAGCCTCATGTGTACTTGTGTTTCTAGCTATGAAATTATATTTTTGGTCCAATTCTAATATTTTTTAGGTAGTTTTATTTATATTGCCGGTATAACTTTTGTTGTTTTTAAAACAAAACCAGGACAATGCGAATTAATTTCTTAAAAGTTAACGTAGGATTCTTCTCTGGTTTCTGACTAGATGGAATATTCAAAGTACATTTGTTGATATGTCTTATATATTTAGATGTAAGAGATTTAAAAGACCATATTTTTCTTTCCTCATCACAATAATACAACTTTGAATAGAAATGGTAAACTGCGTTTGAGAACTAGCACTATATTTTTGGCGGAATGGTGGCGTCTGAAAATATCTTCTTTTCTGCCTCTCAAAATTATTATAGGACATTGAATTTAGTTATAATTTTTACGCAATCAAAGACTAGATGAAATTTTCAAATGTAAGTTAAATTAATAATAAGGGACTAAAGTTTCAATATATATCAAATAAATAAGATTTTTCACACATACTAGAACTATGTTGGCTTTTAAATGCTTCAAATCTAAGTACAAAGTTGAGCCAAAAGTCGTAAAAAGTGTTATTTCTCTCTTAGTAAACGATCAAAACTTTTAGTTTTTGTATCATTTTGTACCTTTACGTGACAACTTTACTATATGTGAAAATTGGAAAAAGTTAAATATAGGAAGCATATAAAAATAACTAATAAATCCTAAAAATTTAAGAAAAGTAGAGGAAATTCGGATTAGCATATATCCATTTTATTTGAATTATCAATGTCAATTTGGTAATATCATCTTATAGGCCCTATATGGTAGTATCTTTTTATGCAAAAAGAAAAACATTAAATTTTTTGAATTACAAGTAGGGATCACATGATTGGAAACAGTAATTTTTTATTCTTAATGTCCAGGAAAAAGGTAATGACCTTGACCTGACCTTGCCTCTAATATTAAACGGTCAAATTTAATCTCAGTGATACCATCACTTAGTGATATTGTCTTCTTTATTCTGTGAGAATTTCATTAATTTTTAAATACAAGAAATGTGAGAAGAATCCTACCTTAAACACCTTTAGAATGAATAAAAACAAATGGAATTAATATGCATGCAAGTCACACTATCTTTAATGATTTAACAAACATGTGATGCTTAAAATGATAACAAATATTAATTGATTCGAATAAATTCAATGTTCATAGGTACAAAGAATGTAAATCATTTTGCATTTATTACATGATGATGTACTTGTAGCTGTAATGAGTTGTAGAATCTTAATTTGTTTTTAAAAGTCTCAAAAGAAACGTCACCGATGACCAACCGATGATTGTCTTCTATGCTCTTGTTGGCAACGATGTTTGCAACGGGTTAGTATTCAAAGATGTTCACTGAAATTATCGCTGTTATAGAAATTTCCTTCCGTAGGAGATGACCGCTCAAAAATACACGCACCTGCCTTTGCTTTTGTAGACACCATGATACTTTTAACCACATGACAACTGCGGAAGAAATGAAGAATAAATCTATAAGCACACTGAATTTCTTAGTAAGAGTTTTTAATATTACGGGGTAATGTTTAAAAATTTTAATTCAGTTTTAATAATTTTAATTTACAGATTCCCTACGAACAAATTTTGGGTCTTGTATATGTTATTCGCAGTTGGACAAAAAGACTGATTTCAATTCTATCATGTTGATTATTTCACTGTAAATTCTTAGACAAAGGTTCTTCCAAAAGGAAGTCACGTGTTTTTCGTTGGACTAGCGGACGGAGCTGTTTTATATAAGGCGCTTAGTGACAGGGTTCATCCGATTGGTTCTCTGCGGAATGACGTCACATACTCCAACTTCTATGACTATTTTAATTGCTTAGAGGTAATTACAATATTCTGAATTCAGAAATGGAATCTCAGATGAAAGATAGCTTTACTTCAACCACGTTTTGTATCAAATGCTTGTTAATATTTCCATTCTTTATTCTGTACGTTTTAGATATCTCCATGTTTAGGATGGATGAATACTAATGCAACCATACGAGATCTAACAACAAAGGTAAAACTACTCACCTGTTGCAGAATAACTTAAGACGGTGATTGACAGTAATGCCAAATGACAATATCATGTTAAAACTATACCCAGACACTGTCATTTGCCTGCATTATTAGCTGTTGAATTTTTAACTGAAATATCCGCCATCCATTGATGTCCAATCATTTATCAGTCTGTTTCTTTCCAAATTTTCTCACGACGGTATTTGTCATGTGAATTATCAAATACATGTTTTTTAATTTTTGTTTAAAACACAACTACAAATATTGGACAATACGCACTGGAATAAATCATACCATTCTGGCATTCATTTTTTAAATCTAACGAAGATTTTGCTAAGGTCATTATAGCAACAACATTGAGATAAAGAAACGCAACAAGTTAATGCTATTCAGTAAAACCAGTAGAGCTACGGCTTATCAGAAAATTATAATGTTATTCATAATAAAAAATATAACGCCTGTGTTGTAGAGAGCCATGGAGCTGAGTGAAGCACTGAAAGAGGTCGTGACCTCCCACCAATCTTCATTCTCAAACTTCAAATTATATTACGTGGAAAATCCTATAGATCAAGGTATTCTCCAACTTTTAAAATTTTATTATATGATTAAATAATTCTAAGCTCTCTGATTGTTGAAATCCAACATCATAGAAAAACAAGATGTGTTTGTGAAACACTATGCGCCCGGCGGCAACAAAGTTTGAAGAAGCTGTTTTTAGCATATAGGTCACAGTCAAGGTCACAAGGTCATTGACCTTGGTGTCATTTGAAAGAACTTAATTAGTGGAGTCTACATACCAAATTTGAAGTCTCTATCCCCTATGATTCAAAAGTTATGGCGAAAGTTTGAAAAAGCTATAGTTACCATTTAGGTCACAGTCAAGGTCAATAGGTCATTGACCTTGGTGGCATTTGAAAGAACTTAATTAGTGGAGTCTACATACCAAATATGAAGTCTATATCTTTAATGGTCAAAAGTTATGGTGAAGGTTAAATTTGACAACAGATAAACAGACAAACAGACAGGACAAGAACAATATACGCCTATCGATCCGGGCGCATAAAAAACTCCTATCATGTTTTTCATTTGACTTTCCATAAGGATGCTTCAGCCACCTTCGAACTAAATTTGCTTCGAGGTCGTTGAATACTGTACTCCTCAGGTTGCTTAATCATCGTATTGACCAAAAAACAGCGATAAATATGTCAAAAAATTTTTAAAATCCGATAGATCAAGGTATACGTACTTATTTTTAATAATTAAAAACATTGTCTCATTTAATTTAAAATAAAAATAAAAGCAAGTGTAATTTTTTATCCAGTTTTGAATGAGTGGACAAAACAGGGCGGAGAGGCGTGGGAGCTCCTAGAACCGGTGGACGGATTCCACTCTAATCAGGTAACATACCGGTACTAAAATAGAGTGACAGGTATTAAAATTGATTGAGTTGTTACCTCCATGATACCTTCCCTGTAGGGATTCCACTTTTATGTAAGGGTGCTGAATTGACTGAGAAGTTGTAATCCTATTCTTTTTAGCTCACCTGAGCCGAAGACTTTTCTGATCACATTTTGTCCGTCGTCCGTCCGTCCGTCTGTCCGTCCGTAAACTTTTCACATTCTCAACTTCTTCTCAAGAACCACTGGGACAATTTTGACCAGACTTAGTAAGAAGCATCCTTGGGTAAAGGGGAATTTAAATTGTTAAAATGAAGGGCCAAGTTCCTTCACAAGGGGAGATAATTAAGAAAAGACAAAAAAAAGGGTGGGGTCATTAAAAAATCTTCTTCTCAAGAACCACAGGGCTAGAAAAGCTGAAACTTATGTGAAAGCATCCTGGGGTAGTGTAGATTCTTAATCGTTCTAATCATGACCCCCAGAGGTAGGATGGGGCCACAATGGGGAATCAAAGTTTTACATAGAAATATATAGGAAAAATCATTTAAAAAGCTAAAACTTATGTGGAGGCATCCCGGGGTAGTGTAGATTCTTAATTGTTCTAATTATGACCACCGGGGGTTGGGCGGGGCCACAATAGGGAATCAAAGTTTTACATAGAAATATATAGGAAAATTTTTTTAAAATCTTCTTCTCAAGAACCACTTGGCCGGAAAAGCTGAAACTTATGTGGAAGCATCCTGGGGTAGTGTAAAGTCTTAATTGTTCAAATCATGACCCCCGCCGGTTGGGCGGGGTCACAATGGGAAATCAAAGTTTTACATAGAAATATATAGGAGAAATCTTTGAAAATCTTTTTCTCAAGAACCACTGAGCCAGAAAAGCTGAAACTTATGTGGAAGCATCCTGGGGTAGTGTAGACTCTAAATTGTTCTAATCATGACCCCCGGGTGTAGGGCGGGGCCACCATGGGAAATCAAAGTATTACATAGAAATATACTGGAAAAATCTTTGAAAGTCTTCTTCTCAAGAACCACAGGGCCAGAAAAGCTGAAACTGAAGTGGAAGCAAATATATGGGCCACAATGGTGAATCAAGTTTTACATAGAAATATATAGGGAATATCTTTAAAAATCCTCTCAAGAACCACTGGGCCAGAAAAGCTGAAACTTATGTGCAAGCATCCTGGGGTAGTGTAGATTTCAAATTGACTAAATTATGATCAGTGGGGTAGGGTAGGGTCACAATATGTATTACTAGGGGGGAATCTAGCAAAGAACAGAATGGTCAAAGCTTCGCAGGTGAGCGATGTGGCCCATGGGCCTCTTGTTTTGTTAAGACATCGAATTGGAGGAGTTTAACGTTTCTTTTGAAAGCTAATTTTTTAGGTTGAGACTCCATGATTTGAAATATTTGCTTAGAAAATTCTTACCACAGTTGAATCAAAAGCTCTCATTTACCTTTTAAAATTTTTCATTTATCTTTTTTTTTTTCACGAAAACACTGCGGCTTTGTTTTATAATGACTCTGTAGAGAGGGGAAATCTCACTCTGAGAAAGAAAGAGGGTAACATTTGACTTTTTGGTGTGAGATTTCCCCTTGGGTGGAATTCTTACAAGAGAGAAGAATTTTCCGGGGAAAGCTGTCTATGAAGGAAAACACCGGTACTAAAATTGAGCGACAGGCTGATACCTCCAATGCGGATTCCACTCTCAATAGAAAGAAGGTGTTACTAAAATCTCTTGACAAACATCCACTCCAAAGAGGTCGTGATACTATTAGAATATGTAAAAGAATGAGTGTACATTTATAGGAGTTTTTTGACAAAGTGTCAAATTCTATTGGATTCTGAACCAGTAGTTTACACGAAGATCAAGTGGTTGTATTCATTAACCAGTACTTTAATTCTATATATTTTATAAGTTGCTCGGGAGATGTTTTATCTTCGGGGCTGGTCGGTTTTTTCCGAGCATTGCATACGCTCAGAGTTGAACGGATGCTGTAGTTTGTTTCATTGTATCAGTTGGAATTCAGCTGCTGCATTTTCAGCCAATTTACAAGGACAATGTTTTTGAAAGAGATGGAAGTTTTAAGAACAAAGTTTTGGGAGTTTACTTGTTTCAAAGTACCTATAAGCTTTACCTTGATCAGACTAGTCTGGTCTGCTTTACTAAATGTAGTATTCATCTTCCCTACTTGAAATCTTAACAAGTATTCTTAACAATAACGATTACCTTTGTTTTCTTATTTATATTTGATTTAGCATGGACAAGCCCTCACGGCTAAGGCTGTTTGGGAAAATCTGGAAAAATTGTACCCCGACGTGCTAGGACCAGTGAATCCCAATAATTCCAAGATTAAATCTTTATTTGGGAACCAGGGAGGCTATCTCTGATGTTGTTGTAATGAGTACAGGAAAAAAGGACAGGGCTGTGCAAAGTTTCTTTTTGTAATGGGTTTTGGAAAATAGGACTGGGTTGTGCAATGTTTCTTACATATCTCATTCCGTGTACAGCATGTACAAATGAAGTTGTGAATGAACAATTGAATATCAAGGAATATTTTTGCTTATTCTAAGAATATCTGTATAATTTTAATTTATATATTCTATGTTTTTACGATACATTTGATGTTCTCAGTGAAAATAAAACAAGGAAATAATCTTGTTTCATTTTTGTTCATTTGACACAGCGTTTACGTATGATTCATGGTCTCCAGGAACACATTATTCTGTAGATCTAAATAAATAACAAAACATTTCTACGAATAAAATCTTCCTGGTCTTCAGCTTGACACACTGTATTATATGTTTATGTATCTCATGTACCATTTACATGGTTTTGATTGAACACAGATGTGCCCTTGCAAGAAAGCTGAATAATATCAACCCTCGGTAGTACATTATCCACCATCTTTATCCCAATGTAAAGTATATAAAGTCTATTCAGACGTTCAATTACACCGACCAGCACTTTTTATCAATGTTTGTCATACTGATACCCTCTCATCAATTTAAGTGTACCAGAACCAAGCGTCACTCAATAATTTTTAAAAGTTCGAAGTCATACATACTGTAGGAATTCCTATTTCATTTACCATTAAAAATTCTGTTTTTTTCATTTATGATATTTTTTTTACAAAACCATTGCGGTTTTGTTTTATAATGACTCTATAGCCAGGGGAAATCCTACTCTGAGAAAGAAAGAGAGGAAAATTTGACTCTGATGTGAGATTTCTCCTGGGTGGAATTCTTACAAAAGAGAACAGTTTCCCGAGGAAAGCTGTCTATGAAAGAATTCCTACTCAACAACACTGACATACAGGGAAAAGTGGCTAAAGTAATATTTATGTCATTATCTTTTTATTTGAAAATTATGTGAAAATTCTGTAAAAATTATTTAACTATTTTTCATGCGAATTTCATGTGAAAAAAATCATATGATATTCACAAAATATTTTTTAGAACTTCTATGTGAATTTTTCTTTGCACGATATTTATGCGATATGCTCTTCATGTAAAATTCATATGAATGTTATGTCAAAATTGCTTGAAGTTTTCATATATAATTTCAAATATCTTGTTTTCTGTCTCTATCTCATGCTTAAAATTCACATGAAATTCATGTGAATTTCACATAAAATTTATGTGAGCCACTATTGCCTGTGTTATACTAAAAATTGAGTGTCAGGCTGTTACCTCCATTGTGGATTTCCACTCTTAATGGGAAGGTGGTGTTACTAAACCCTCTTGACAATGTCCACTCCAAACCGGTTGTGATACCAATATTAGAAATATGTAAAAGAATGAGTGTATATTTATAGGAGTTTTTGGACGAAGAGACAAATTTCATTCTTAACTGGTAGTTTACACGAAGTTTAAGTGTTAATCTATACTAGTATATTGTATTCATTACCATGAACTTTGTTAATACTAGTATAGAAGTAGGATCTTGATTCATTTTTTGAAGCAAGTTGTGCTGGTGAATCGATGTTTAATTTTCGGGGTCGGTGTCTTTCAGAGCATTGCATACCCTCTACTGATCCGAGTTTAATGGATGCTGTAGTTTATTTCATTGTAACAGTTGGGTTTCAGTTGCTCCTTTTTCAGCCAATTTACAAAAGATAATGTATTTGAAACAGGTGGGAGTTTTTAATAGAAGAAAGTTTTGCTTTGAGGTACACATTTCTTATCCGCTACTCCTCTTATACCAAATGAATGAAAATTAATGAAAGTGTCAAAGATTCTTTTTTACATGGTGCCATTGTGCAACTTTTATTTTACTTTTTGATCGGAGACATATTTTGAGTTTCCCATAGCAAAACATTGACACTGCCATTTTTTCTATAATATTGAATGGTACTCATCGCCCATCCGCAATTCCTCCTATGCCACTGAATAAAATTTACTAATACATTCAAATTCTTTATTACGTATTGCCATTGTGTACCTTCTGTTTTACTTTTTGATCTGGAACTTATTTGGGATCTCCCAGAGCAAAACATGGACTTATAATCACAGGGAAGCGGTGGCTATCATTTAGTGAGCTTATAGTACCTCTTGTTTGTTTAGTTGTGATTACTGTAAACAAGAAAAGTTTAAATTTTTGTTTAATGCAAAAACAGAGATATTAGTAGTGTTTTTCTAATCCCATGAATAGCCATGATAAATATGTTTCATTGGACCAAGTAAATTCTGTAAAATTGTCATGTCAATTTTTAAGCAATTGAAACAACCATTAAATTATCTTCTAACACCTGTATTTCTTGTACGTGTATGTTTGTTCAATGGACGAAACAAGTGAGTTTTTCTGATAAAAAGTTTACATTGGAATATATAGCAAACTTGAAAAATCTTCTCTGAAGGAGATTAAACAACAAAGCCATGAATGTTTTAAAAATTTATCAATATTACTAATGTGGAAGCAGGTAGTGTAGATTCAAGTTTGTACAAATCATGACCAGGGGATAGGGTGGGGCCACAATGGACGACCAAAGTTTACATTGGAATATATAGGAAAAATCTTCTCTAGAACAACAAAGCCATGATTTGTCATATTAATTTTATGATGGAAGCATCCCAGGTAGTGCAGATTTAAGATTGTTCAAATCATGACCCCTGGGGCCCCAGTAGAGTGGGGAAGACCAAAGTTTTACATATGAATACATAGGAAAAGTCTTTAAAAATCTTTTCTTCTCAAGAACAACAAAGGCATGATTGATCATATTTATATGGAAGCATCCTCAGGTAGTTTAGATTCAAGTTTGTTCAAATCATGACCCCCGGGGGTAGGGTGGGGCCACAATGGACCACCAAATTTTTACATAGAGAGATATATAGGAAAAATCTTTAAAAATCTTCTTCTTAAGAACAACAAAGCCATGATTGGTCATATTTATATGGAAGCGTCCTCGGGTAGTGTAGATTCAAGTTTGATCAAATCATGACCCGTAGGGGTAGGGCGGGGCCACAATGGACGACCTAAGTTTAAAATAGGAATACATTGGAAAATTCTTTAAAAATCTTCTTCTCAGTAAAAGAACAGTAGTCACCACAATCTCATTTATTATATTTAGTTTGGTTTTCTTTTGTATAACGGCATTTCCTGCAGTCGGCACGAGGTTGATGCACACACATTTGTTGTGTACTGAACTTCTAGTCATATATAGCGGCAACATGGACGTTTATCATTGAAATTGTCTGAATATTAGATTATTTTGATTGTATTTTACTATGCAATCGTTTTATCGTGCATATCATAAGTAATTTTGTTTATGCTGTACTTGCAACTCGCAGTTGATGCTATTTTTAGATTTAAAATCCACAAAGCTGTTAGAAAGTCAGTTTAACATTAAATTGAACAAAATTATGTGTGATATTTGAGTAAGAGAAGTTGATAATTTGTTGTTTAACTATTCGGTGTATTTACAGTAGAATCTCAATTATAAGTATTGATGTCAGTATTAATTTCTGTAATGTTTACCTGTGAATCTATACTAGGTTTATTGGAATTTTTTTTATTTATATTACCTGAAGTTGTGAACCTACATGTATTATTTTGTATTTTCATATTTTATGTAACTTTCTCGGAAAGTATTACAAGAGAATGTATGAAGCCTGCTCCAGACCCTTGTATTCTGAATAAAACCTATATCAACCAAACTTGCTACAAAGTATCCTTAAGTAAAGGGGATTCAAGTTTATTCAAATGAAGGGCCACACCCTTTTCCAAGGGGAGATAATTATGAATTAAAGAAAAATTAATGGCATTTTTAAAAAATCCTCTTCTCAAGAACCACTGGGCCAGGAAAGATGAAACTCATGTGGAATCAGGTAGTGTAGATTTATATATATATATATATATATTATATATATATATATATATATATATATATATATATATATATATATATATCGCCCGTCTTTAGACGGGACGTATTATGTTATAGGCTTCGTGTCCGTCCGTCTGCCTGTTAGCTTTTTCGTTTCCGGCTCATAACTTTAATACTACTAGGCCTAGGATTATCAAACTTTGTCATCTGATGCATCTTAGGTAGAAGGTGTGTCGCGCACAAAAAATAGGTCGCTCTGACCTTTAATTAAGAAGTTATAGCCAAATATGGAAAAATCCTTTCCGGCCCATAACTAGAAAACCATAAGACCTACAATCATCAAACTTGGCCAGTTTATGCATCTTAGGTAGAAGGTGTGTCGCGACCTATTTCAAGGTCACTGTGACCTTTAATTTAAGTGAACTTTTAAAAAAAATGTGTCTTTTTACTATTCATTTACACATCCCAAATAATGTAAGAGTATTGCACTGTTCTTATTAAAAAAGTGTTAAATCAAGAAAATACTTATTTTTTTTAAGCATATACTTGACAGCAATCTATAACAAATATAATGTATGTTAGAGAAATCCTACCTCTCCCATGAGTGTAATTATCAAGCACTGGTCAAGAAGAATTTTGATAACAGAAAATTGCATGTCAAATTAGAGAGAAATTAATGGGTTTTGAGTGCGAGGAGCTAACTGACAGAGCATTGGTGTTATCTGTATCCCTTGACTATTGGGCAAATGGGTAAGCCTGTTTGATTAAAAATAGCTCTTGTTGGCTTGCTTAAGTTTTAAAATGAATTTGATGAAAAGTAATTAAAACTAATTTGATATTGCATAATAGACTAATCTGATATTATGTTATATTATTAACTAAAATTTAAAAACTCATTTTATGGGGTGGGATGGAATCAGCATGTCCATATGAATTACATATTAAAACCTGTCGGACATTAAATCTCAACCAAAAAAAATCTTTGAGTATTTTATATGTTTTTTTTAAAAAAAAAAATTATAGTAGATAGTGCAGACCCATTCATCTCTTGGTAGTAATGAGTAGACAAGCATCCAGTTAAAGATTAATTAATGAGTTCAATGTAGGAAGGCTAGCTGTCTCAGTCGCTCTGATTAAGCAGTCTTATCTGTACCCTTTGAGGATTAGACAGAAGAACTGCTGGTCAGTTTATAACATATGTCATTTGATGGCCAGCCTTTTCTTTTCAAAATTAATTTGGTATAGATTAAGTTGTTAAGACTAATTTGATGATGGGCATTTGACAAGGTCTAACACAACGAGCACAGAAATTTATCAGTGATGTA